TGAACCTCCACAAGAAGCTTGGCCACCCAGGACGACAAGTCTTCATCAAGATGCTACGCGACCGTGGCGCTTCCACCATGGTCAAGACGATAGCGGCCAATCTGCACTGCATGGATTGTGAAGAGTCTGCCATTCCACCGGCCCGACGTGCAGTGACCCTGGAGCAAGCCACTGAGCTTTGGGAAGTGATCCAGCTGGACAACATGGAGTTCACCGTGGGCGACGAGACCTTCCACTTCCAGGTGATTGTGGACGAGGCTTCCACCTACGGGGCAGCGAACTTCCTCTTCAAGCACCCCGTTTCTGCCAGCAGGAATCCAACTACATCAGAGATGCTTCAAGCGCTCCACCAAGGATGGATCCAGTACTTTGGCTACCCCAAGTGCATCAAGCTGGATAAAGAAGGTGCTCATCGAGGACGACAACTTGAAGAATGGGCCGAAGGCCATGGCATTGAGATTGAAGCCATTCTGGCCGAGCACCATGGATCCATCGGCCAAGTTGAGAGATTGATTGGCACCCTGAAGCAAAAGCTCATGGCCCATTTGAGGTCGACTGAGGCTCCACCAGAGATTGCCACATGGGCAATGATTGCGGCTCACAACACCATGAGCAACGTCGGCGGCTACACGCCAATGCAGTGGGTCTTTGGAAGAAATCCCACTGAAGCAGATCGCCTACATGATGGACCAGATCTTCCCTACTGGTCTGGGATGAGCACCGAGGAGAAGATGAAAGACAGGCTGGAACAACGGCTGCAGGCAGAGAACCTCCATCGCAAGTTGACGCTGCAGCACAAGATCAACCAGGCGGCTAACACCCGCATGCAGCCACCGGTGCGCTACCATCCCGGCGACTTGGTCTACTACAAGAGGTACCAACCACCAGCTGACAAGCGGGAGAGATCTCATCATCTCCTGGACATCCCTCGCAGACGTGTTGCACGCTGGTATGGACCTGCTCGCATCCTGGCTCTCGAAACAAAGACTAGCTATGAGGGACAAGTTCGACAACCACATCTGGTGGCTTGGATCATCGCCAGTGGAAGATTGAAGCGGGTGCATGCGAGCCAGTTGCGCTTCGCTTCAGAGAGAGAAAGAGTGATCGCAGAGAGTCACACGCCGTTGGCAACGCCCTGGACCTTCAACGACCTCACCGACATCATTGCCAAGGGCGAGTTCGATGATGACACCATGACCCAGCGGCAACAGATGAGTGCAGCTCTGCGGCAAAGAACTGGTACTTTGAACCCTGAAGAGTCTGCCTCCAGGAAGAGACCAGCATCGCAAGAGAGACCAAGAGAGGAAGAAGATGCTGAGATCTTCGAGCCATCACCAACGGGGCACTCAGAGCCATCACCAACGGGGCATCATGAACCAGGACGAGGCTCCGATGAACCCTTCTTGGCACCGGAAGCACCACCAGATCCTCGCCATGAGATCCAAGAAGATCTTGATGCACAGAGGCTGATGGCGGACCAGCACCACTTTCCTATGGGCTCTGGAGAACAAGGACCACTATTTCAACACGCACCTTTTCTTCGTGCCCGAGCTCGCCATGAGAGAATGGAGAGGCCATATCATGTGCAGAGGCAAGATTTCCTTCGCCAGCAGGAGCTGCGAGGCTATGATGCCACGACCAGAGAACAAGACATTCCAGCTCCGCGGACACCAAGCCCTCTGGAAGAGCAAGCTGACTATGTGGATGAGGAGCTCAACATGGAAGAGCTTTTCTTGGCCGAAGACTTCGAGGACTATGTCTTTGCCGTCACCATCCCCGAGCCCAAGACAGAGGCGGAATGGAGGTCGATTGTCAAAGACCCTTCCAAATTTGTGGCAAAGAAGATGGCCAAGGGAGTTGAAGTCAGCTGGCAGAAGCTCAACAACGTCCAGAAGCAGGCCATGCGAGAAGCGAAGGTCCTAGAGATCAACGACTGGTTGGCTTCTGAAGTTCAAGCAAACGGACACACCTGGCATGATCAAGGCGAAAGCCCGCCTCGTGGTTTTGGGATTCACGGATCCCGACGTCGGCCTGGTCTCCGTTAGGTCACCGACTTTGTCAAGGAGGGGGCGACAGTTGATGCTTGCGATGTGCACCCACAAGCAATGGGGCTTCCTCAAAGCCGACGCCAAGACCGCCTTCCTGCAGGGTGAGATGGGCCAGCAGCACCGGCAGATTTTTGGACAGCCAGTCCAGGAATTGAAAGAGGCAATGGGCCTGAAGGAAGGCCAAGCAGTCCAGTTCCTCAAGGCTGCCTATGGCCTGACCATCGCTCCTCGTGAGTTCTACTTGTTTGTAGATGAAGTGTTGAAGAAGTTGAACATGGAGCGCCTCACCACTGAACCATGTCTGTGGCGCCTCACGGACTATGACCCTCGGCTGCAGAAACAGGTCACCATTGGCCTAGTTGGAGCCCACGTCGACGACTTCCTCATGACTGGAGATGAAGGGCATCCCAAATGGTCTGAGTTCCTGCAGCGGTTCCATGAAAGCCTGAAATGGTCACCTTGGGAATGCGCGCCCATGATGCACTGTGGCGTCCACCTGTCACAAAAGAATGATGGTGGATGGATCCTGGACCAGAAGGAGTTCTGCGAGTCCCTCAACCAGGTCCAGGAGGATGGCCACGCCAAGGAGCTCACCGAGTCTGAGCGACGCCAATGCCGAGCTGTGCTTGGATCAGCTCAATGGCGAGTCTACCAGACGGCGCCCCATCATGCCGCGAAGCTCAGCCACCTTCAGTCAATCCTGCCGAAGGGTGAAAGAGAGGTCCTCAAAGAGATCAACAAGTTCACCCGCGAGCTCTATGGCCAGAGGAATGTGACCTTGGAGATGCACAACCTCTATGCCGAGAAGGACGAGGATGTGGTGGCAGTGGCCTGGTCAGACGCAGCGCTGGCCAATCGCGCTGATTTGGGCAGCACCGGCGGCATGCTGATCGGACTGGTCCACAAGGACATGGTGGACAAGGGCCAGAAAGGTCCGGTGAATGTGATCAGCTGGGGCAGTGCAAAGCTTCGTCGAGTATGTCGCAGCAGCTTGGCAGCAGAGACCCAAGCTTTGGCCGAAGCAGAGCAGGAGCTCATGTTCGTCCGCACGATGTGGATGGAGATGATGGGCGAGAAAGTGAACCTCCATCGACCTGGAGACACGGCTCAGAAGATGAGGGGCTTCCTCATCATGGATGCGAAGGCCTTGTACGACTCTTGCCAACAGGGCGATATGCCTTCCTTCTCCTCCAAGGAGAAATACACGGCCTTGGAGATCTTGGCCTTGGTGCAGAACATGAAGCTCCAGGCCACAGAGCTGCGATGGTGCAACTCGGACATGCAGCTGGCCGACGGGCTGACGAAGGTGGGAGCTCAAGATCGCATGCGGCGATTCTTGGAAGAAGGTCAGCAGTGGAATGTGGTCTACGACCCAAAGTTCATTGCCGCAAAGAAGCTCCGGGCCCGGCGGCTGCCTGCGGATGCTCCTGAGACTGAGGAGTTAGGTTTGGGTGAAAGCACGTGGCTGGATCTGATCGGAAGCTCACACACGGGGCATGTGAATAACTCAGCTAAACATATGTGTTTCGCTTCCGGTCAGTGAAGGACATGTGCGACTTCCGTGAACCTCCCGGTTCAAAGGGCACCCTTCAGCCAGTGGCCTTCACAGGCCTTTGTAGGCTACCGTTCGCACGTGCCGCCATAGCTTGTGGCATTTGAGGCCTTGACAGGCCACGACAGACAGCGCCCGTGGACGGGCCAAGGTGTGCGGAAGAAAAACAACTGCTACCTGAGCGAGTGGCCTTTGCTTTGGTTGGAAAACCTTTCACCTTCAAAGGTCACACGGCTACCGACAGACGGAAAGCATGCTTGTGTAAATGAGGCGTGTCGCTGGAAAGCGGAATGATTGGCGGTGACTAGGATGCTTGGTGTGTCATTTGCATGGTTGTCTCCAGTCTGGCACACCGTGTGGCGACATGACGTGTGCATTGTCGTTGTGCCATAAGGTTTTGCACAGCTTTGGTGGACAGTACGTGTGCGTCAGTCGGTGCCATGAAGGCTTGATCATTGAGCGAAGGGAAACCCCATGCTGGTGTGAACACGGCGCGTCGCTGCATGAGTCACACTCCAGTTTCAGTCTTGCAAATGTGTCTTCCACAAGTGTGGTTGGAAATCGCAAATGACAGTGTCGGCTTTCAGTCCAAGGGACATGCTTCATTCGTGCGCGTTCATTTGTGCAAAAAAAACGCGTCGACCCTCAATTGCACTCCGCGCACCGAACGTGTGCATGCGGGTTCGTGGCTGCTTTCTTGTTGTTGTTTCACTGGTGGGTGGGCACCAAAGCAGCCGTTCTGCAGGGTCCACCGAAGTTCACAATCTTTCTGCACAATAGTTGTTCAACCCTGGTTTCCTTTGAGGAACGTGAATGTACATTGCAAGTTTTGGTTGACAACATGATGTCACATTGCACGACATGCACTGTTTTAAAATAGCCGTTTCCAAATTTTCAGTTTCTAGTTTTTGTCATGGGAAGTTTCAAAAAATATTGTTTGTGCACATTGTTTGCAATGGCACTTAATTCAAATTGTTGTTTCAATATTTTCAGTCGTGAGAACTCCTAACTAACTTGTTTTGGACATGATCTGATGCTGACATGTTGCCTGGCCAAATTCCCAAAGAACCACGTGACAAACAAATGTTGTCAATCAACAATCGTCCACCTGTTTTTCTGATCACGACCTTGGTGGATTCATCGGTGTGGTGTGTTATTGTAATGCTGTGGTGTGCTTGTGGTGAGCAGGCATGGCTCAAAAATCATTGCACGTTAGATGTCCAGATTTGGAATGCATTTGCTTACCGTTTCCATCATTTGACGGGCTTGGGCTAGTTGATCTTTATTCCAGTTGTCTGACATGCTGCCTATTCACAGTTGAAGACTCCCAAACCAAAACAAGGGGCCTAGGACGGCAAGTGCAAGGCTGTTTACATACTATTGAGAGAAATGAAGCCATGATGCGAAATGTTCTTGAAACTACGTTTGTGATCTTTCCAATTTGTGCCTTGCAATGCAATCGAACCTCGTGGAGAAACTCCTGGATCTGCGAGAGAAGCAATCAGCTTCATTCCGAAGGATTGACTGCCTCAAAAAGGAACACGAAGACTGGCAGGCAAGGGACAGTTGCATCTTTACAGATATTGCAGGATTTTATTCAAAGAACAAACATGTATTTTTCTTTCGGTTTTGAGACTTGCAAGATTGGTTTCAGTATTTTCCTTGGGGTCCAAACTTTGTCAGCTCCCATGCTCACAAGACTTTGACCTCAGAAATCCTTCGACGAACTCCTCTTCAGCATCCAGAGCAGCGAGGGTAGCGAGGGCAGCAAGGGTGTCAGTCAGCAACTTGGATAGTTTGTGGTCCGCAATATTTGGGTGCAGGAACTACAAGATGCTCTGGACACTGTGATTCTATGTTATTGTTTGGTCCCCATATGCCTAAGCTTTCCAGCTGGAAACCTGTTGCGACATTGAGTTAGGAGGCAACGTGTCAAATATGCCATACTTATAATGTGCAGCACTTCAGACACTCTAAATGCCCTGTACTCTTTTGTGAATAATTCGTCCCCAGGTCCACGTCTTCTCATGACTTCGGATCCATTTGCGAACTCTGTTTCCAATGAGGCCCACCTCACCGACTTGTGCTCCGCCGGCGGAGCCGGATGCGCCGCGCGACGCGCCGCGCCTGCTCCCGCCGCCCATTGCACTGCCGCCGGGAGATACCGAGTTGGTCTCGGAGAGGAGTACGGAGCGGAGTGGGAGTCGAGAAGGGGAGCTGGACAAGACGCCGTCCGCGGCATCCTTCCAAGCACCTTGGATCGGTGAGCAACTCCTTTCGCTGGGCTTTTGCGAACTCTTTCTTGTTCGCTCTCAGGCACCAGTGCTGACCAAGCGGGATCAAAGTGGACCCTTGCACAAGCTGGTGAGGCAGGAGCTGGCAAAGGCAGGACCACTCCGCAACGAATTAACTTAATTGCGATGGCCTCCAACCTTAGTGTAGTGTTCAAGTGACACGCCGAAGACTTACGTCCACAAATGATTTCTTTCTTGTTGCAACTGTGTTTGCTGCGAAGTGTCCTCAGGTGGATTTGACCCTCAGTGAAGAACAACACAATAAGCAAAAGCGCATCCACAAGCTCCAGCAGTTTGTTCAGAGGACAGTCAGATATTTTTTTGGTGTATTTTGGCAAAGTGTTGTGTTTCTAAGTCGTCATTCTCTTGGTTATGCTGTAATACCCAATACAACCTCACTATAACAGCACTACAACAGTCTCATTGATCAGCAGGCACCCAGATTTCAATGCGCATACCCAAAATGGAACCTTTGGTGAAGAGGTCACTTGGAGACCTGGTGCGAATTGCTAAGTATGGCCCGTAAGCCTTGCAAGCCAACATACTGTTTTTGGATTGTTTCAACTTATCGTTGCCGGTTCTCTTGTCTTTCGCTTGCAGGATAGTGAAAAATGACCGATTCGAGTATGTGACGGGCTTTGTGGCTTAGCCTCATGTCACGGGTTGTATTTGTTTGTGGGATTCTTGGCCGTTTTCTTTCGACGATGCTTCAAAGCATGGAAGCTGTTGCTGCGGTAGGTTATCGCTTAAAAAAGGAAAGGCGAAAGAAACAGACACACAAGAAAACTGGAAAGGTTTTACTGTAAACTGAATGGAGTTGAGTGTTGCTTTGGAATAATGGACCTGCATTCCCTTTCATGAATACTTGTGCTACATGCTTGCAATCCAGCTGGTGAAGCGGTCTTCGGTTTTGGTTTGCCAAGTGAATGGGAATGGTGACAGACCATGCAGAGGGGAGTATGTTGTATACGGTATGTGTAAGGGTTTGGGGCTGTTGTCCTTGGGGTGGTCAGGGGTTGGTCCCCTCTTTCTGGGTTTGACCTGGAGGGTTTCTCCTTGGCTTTGCTCTTGTGCGAAAGGGGAGCTGCTGTGAACTGCGTTGTGCGTGCTTCAGGATTGGATCATAATGTGGATGCACAGGTTGTCAAACGTGTGCTAAGGCACAATTACTAAGGTGTGATGCTGCAGCCCTGGCTCAGCTCAGGTTTCAGATCTCTTTTGCTGAGATTCCAGGGCAATGGCCACGTGGCCGGACTTGTTGAAGAAGGTCGAAGATCCGAGCCCGGGCGAGGCTGTGGTGGCGACAACAATTTCTTGGTTCACAGACAAGCTGAATGTAGCTTTTCCAGGACTGGCTGAAGGAGACACAGGACAGCTGATTGAAGACAAGCTTCCCAAGGAATTGCCAGTTCAGGCGTGCGTCATCCGTCGTGTGCTTAGGGCGGTCAAGGCGGTGGCTCAGGCTCGCCGTGTGCAGCAAGGCAGTGGTGCAGCCTCCAGCGCCCAATCCCTTTCCAAGTTGCTAGTTCCAGGCAAGGTGGCAGATGTGGCAGGTCTCCTTAGTAAAGCTGAGATGAAAAGCTTAGGCTTTGGGCTTCAGGCCGAACAAGCGCTGTGTAGCAACATGCAGCAGCATACAGAAGAATGCAAGTTGGCTGGGAAGACACCGTTTCTTTTTGTTGTCTTGACATTCAAGGAGACCCTTCCAATGTGGCCACGGATTTGATTGGCGGAAAACTTTCCGATGCATGATGATGGTGACTGGCCTGTCCACCGTCAGCTGCCCATCTCCTCCTTGCACGATTTGGAAAAGCATGGAAAAGTGCAGCTGCTTCACCCCGGTTCTCCAGAACAGTTTAGCAGTGGGATGGAGCTTTCATTCGAATGTGGCAGTAGCAACTGGCCAGTTGACGTGGCCAAGTGTTCTAGGACATGTGGACAATGTGCTTCAGCTTGCAGAGCAGGAGCAAATGAAGGGCAACCGGCCATTCGTTTCATATAAGCTCTGTGAAGAGCTTCTCCAGAAGAATTGGGCGCGACGTGCAGAAAAGAATGACCCAAGCCGCAACATTCAGGCAGACGCCCAAAAGATAGACGCAGCAGATGATGTTCAAGCAAAGTCAGAGCGCCAACCAGGAACATACCAAACAGCTCATAGACCCATCGATGTCCAAACGTGCTGTCAAAATACAACTGCCCTAGCCAAGTCTGGGTGCGTTTCACTCTGCAAATGGGCCAATGGAAAAGCGCTGCCATGTTAAAATACGTCATCCCAGACGCCTTGGATGAAGGCGTATTTGGCGTGAGGTCGCAAATGAATCTGAAGAAGAGTAGTGGAATTTTAATTTAAGCATGTCTAGTCTAGTTGTCGACAGGTAGCTGCAGGCATCATCACAGATGAATCAGCACATCATTGGGGAATGAGCGACGTTGGGAATAGTGAGCCATTGTTTGGTGCTTCTTTTGTGGGCAGGTATATGCTTGCCAGTGATGAACTGGAGCTGACTGACTGTTGGTGGGGGGTGTCACTTGTGGGGCTTGTTGCCCTGCACTTTTCCAGTCAACCAGTGGTCTTTGAAGCCTGTCGAGTGTTTAAATTCCTGATGACTCTGCGAGTCCCGACGATGCTTTCTTTGTAGAGCAGTGCAAAAAGTTATGGTGAATGTTCTTGCTGACTCACCTGCAACGATCAAAAGTGGACATCTTTCCTGAGCACCAAATTGTGTTTCATGCGTAGGGAAAGCAAGGAAAAGGAGATAGTAAAGGCGGAAAGGTCTCAAAAAATAAGAGTCTTTTCTCTTGGTGCAAAAACTTCTTAGTTGCCAAATGCGTGCAAACGGTCGAAGCTGAGGTGATCGCTTTAAACCTAGTTCTGATTGGAATCGAAGCTGATGCGTCGTACGCGCAGCAAAAAGACCACTTGCCCTGGGCGTATGTCACTGAAAGGCTCTTTTTCTTCATCTATTGCTTCTGGGCATTGGGATTTCGCACAAACAAAAAAGATGTGGACAGTGCCAGAATCCATTTGCCACTTGCTTTAACCTTTCTGAGGCTTTGAAGCCCTGCTTCGTTTTATTGCAGGGTCCAACATCTTCAAAGAACCGTGACGAGAATGGTAGCCTGGGCTGGGGGAACTGCAAGTAACTTGGTGAAATACAAATTGTTGGAAGTACACATCCTGATTCGGCGTCGAGAAAGCAATCTTGGCCTGCCAAATCGTTTCGCCCAGTTGTTTTGCATGATCAGAGCGAGAACCTTTACTTATGCTAGAAGGGTGGAACTGGGCATCACTTGCTCGAAATGCATTATTCTTTTATGCGTGGGTTAAAAGAGAATCATTTGCACCAAGCCTGGCCAAGGACATTTGGTTTTTTACAGACATGATGCTGATCACGATCGCTTTTGTTGCCCTCTGGATCCTCCCCTTGACAGGCATGCTTCAAACACGGGACCTCTTGAGGGATTGCCGGCACTCTCTTCTTCCTGCTGTTCGTTGGCAGTAAATGTGTTGGACGATATATAGATGTTGTGACGGTTATGTGATGCATTGATACACCATTTTTTTGCACCGTGTTTGTTTTGTGTGTGGGGTAGGAATAACTTCCCCAGCCGTTCCACCATGCTTCCCTTGCTATGACCATGGATGTGGAGGAACAAGAAACCTTGCTGCAGAGCAGAAAATCCCACGACCGGTCATCACTCCTTCAAGTCCTTTGGACCTGTCTCAAACCGCTCCATTGCAAATATTAGACTGACACACACACACACACCATGACACAAGAAAGCGGTCCTTACTGTTGGAAAAGGAAGCATTGTTTGGTTCGTAGTAAAGATAGCTGGCTTTTGGTCCAAGACCTAAGGCGAGAACCATCTGCATCACATGCTTTACAGGAACCCAGCTTCGTTTGACACATTTGCATGGCAACAAGCCCTGCTCTCGTGCATTTGTTCGACTTGAATTCGCTTCTTTTGTTTCATACATCCCGCAAAAGCCCATCAACCCACTTCCCAGCCGCCTGTGCTACAGGTTGTCCCTTTGGCAAGTAAATTCGGAGCATCATACTATGGAGTAGTTCACGGCTTATTGTTTGAGGAATTGTTCATGTATGTTAAGGTTGAAAGCCTATGTGCCAAAATAAATCCAAATCCGGTGTGCAAGCGCTTCCTGCATCGTGTCGCGAGTCGGCACGGATCTGTCAGTTGGAAACTCTGCCGATGGCGTGGAGAAGCTACTTCTGGTGCGGGGAGTCCGCTTGTTGCGGCTGGTGCGAGCGCTGAGGAGGGGGCCAGTCGGAAGGAACAGTTGCAAGGAGTTGTGAAGTCCCCACCCTACTGTACGGGACCATTTTGTTGGAGGTAGTATAGAAGGCGACCTACCCTGAAGCTTGCACGTCATTTGCACTGTTGGTTTACCCCCCTCAATGTAGCTGCACACCTTCAGGATGTTCAAGCACTTCAAGGTGATGTGGCGATCCTTGGTGGCAATACACGTCAGAGGAATACTCTCAGCTGTTCCGGAGTCTGGACAGAGCTTCATTTGCTCTTGTAGTCTGACAGACTTTCAGAACTTAGGTGCGCGAGAAAAAAACACGCACTCTGAGCACCAATTTGGCAATTCTGTACTTGTAGCATCATTTCATTTGAGCAATTTGTGATTCTGGTGTCACGGGGAGGCATCACATGGCTTGCACGGCTCATTACAAGGTTTCGACTGGAACCACAATTTGCAGCCCCTCCTCACATTACTCAGCCATACGGAGAATGAAGGTTCTAGTGACAACAAGGCGGGTTGTGTTGTTTGTCTTGTCACGTCTTGGTCCTGTTCACAGGCTGAATCTCTCTCTCTCTGTCTGGTGGAGTAAGTGACTACATTGTCTGCATGATGGTACTCATTTTGGCCGCCATGGACAGAGGTTTCCTGCTCAAAGGTGTGGACTTACCAGCCGCACGAATCTCGTGCCGCAGAACGGTGAGAGTGTCCCCAAAGCAGATGCAAGCCCGTAGCACCAACCAAAGCATCATAGAGCAGTGTCCTGCGGCTCATAAAGCACTGAGTCATTAGCTCGAGGTCGGACTCGGCCGGACGGTCGGGTCGAAGCGCGGACGGTCGCGGAAGACCAGGATTGGTGCATGGATTGATCTCGGCGGGTCAGACGATCATCTCCACCACCGTGCTGATCCTCGTGTCGCTCTTTGTCTTCTCATGCATGGCAGTTGAGCTCATTGCCAAGGCGCACAGTTCGGAAGACCGGGTGTGATTTGTCGTCCAAGCATTCCCGATGTGCATCCATGCTGGAAATCGGTGGATTGTTTTTTGTGGCTTATTGTGAATCACTCCCCAGCATGATTTGCACGTCTGTGACTCAGTGCCAGGACGACAAGCTTAATGAAATAACCGAGACCAAAAAGATCATCGATGAGATGCTTGGGCTGAAGAATCTCTATATATATACGTGTGGTCTCCAGTGGAAGCCGTCTACAACGCTGATACTCCTTTCGCTTTGTCCCATCGAGAAGTGACCGTTTCTCCAACTCAAACTGAACTAGTGCATGTCAAATTTGTTGTACTGAACTGCGGGAGTTTTCAGATTTAGACGAAGCCTCTCATGTTTCCAACCACTTCGGTGAACAAGGATGAAGCAGAAAGCTCTTTTTGGATGCCGAGCGGAATCGGCCACGTTTGGATCTGTCAGGGATCTGAACAAGAGAATAGATAACACATAAGACAGTAGCAGGTACACTCCTGTAATCTATCTAGGACCATTGACTCGCACCAGAGAGTCTCCAGGTTCCTTGCTTTTTGCTTGTTTCCTCGCACGTTAGAAGTTGAAGGTGTGGCCGGTTTGCTCCTGCACTCACCACACGGCACGACCTGCACTTTCGTCGTGCCGCTTCCGTCGGATTGATTTTGTTGTTCGACTTGCGACTCAGCACTCACGACTTGGCTTTGCATCGCGCCTCAAATTCACCGGTGAGTGGTGATGATGGATGTAGAAGGCCGAGTCCAAAGGGAAGATGGATGAAGGAGACGTGACCCGGGACCTTTCGGATTGCCGGTTTTGCTACCACAAAGAGCGCTTCTAGGTTGGAGGCCATCGCTTCTAGGTTGGAGGCCATCGCTTCTAGGTTGAAGGCCATTCCCATTAGGTTGGAGGCCATCGCTTCTAGGTTGGAGGCCATCGCTTCTAGGTTGAAGGCCATTCCCATTAGGTTGGAGGCCATCGCTTCTAGGCTGGAGGCCATCGCTTCTAAAGGGCTGAAGTTTGGGTGAAGGACATGTGGAATGCCTGCCTTGGCTTGCCACTAGTAGCAAGCAGCAAGAAATCTCAGTCGTTTTTGTCACCACCTCTTTTGTGTATCTCCATTTAGCTCGGCTCCTGCTGGCAGAATCACAGAATTACGTACTCTCCTAGGCATTTAGCATCCATGTACTTGCCCACTTGCCTCTTTCTCACTCCAGGATGTTCCATCCCATCTAACCTCTTCTGATTCACCAATGGCTTTAGAAACGGGTGCTCGTTGCATTTCACCCATTCGACGTGCTTTCTGCGCAGCTATGCAGCTCTCTTTGGTCAACCGCCCTAGAAAAGTGTTTGGGAGGTCATGGCAAAGAAAAAGGGCTCCAGTCCCTTGTTGAATCAAAGCAACGCAGAAAAAGCAAAGATTGGGTGGGACTTTGGTATTCACTGCGTACATTTTCTTGGTTGTCCTCGAAATGCAAGGCACTTCAGCGGCATTGGACCATCTATGGTGACTTTGATGCAATTCGTCACCGTGGACTCCGTGGCTGCGATCTATTTCCCCATCATTATCAACCAGCCATATCTCTGTAGCAAACTCAGCAAAGAACTTTTTCATGAATCAGTGCTTGCTAATCAACTCGAGCGAAAACATGGGGAGTCACAGCCGGTTCTACTGAGGCTTGTTTTTTCTTCTGATCATCGTAGTGATTTCTATTGGTCTGATGAACTTGGTGACAGCAGTCGTCCTGGAGCAGCTTGGCACTTTGAGAAAGCTTGATGTCGACTCCCAGAGATATGGAATCTGCAGCTGAGGAATGCCATGGAATCTGCTGTTCAAGAGGCTGAGGAAGAACGGAGCTCATTGAAGTGCAAAGTCAAGGAGGCACCCGTGCCGAGCGGACACGGAGCGGGAGCCCAAAAGACCGGGCCCGGCTCTTCGAAGAGCCCCCTGAATTTCGCTGATTTCGAGAGAATCTTTATTTGTATTTACCCATCAGCGAGTCGCTCAATTGTGCGGTATCCTGGCTTATGAGGCTTGTTGCAAAACATTCTTTTTATCTTGCGCATGAATTCAGCAAATTTTGCTTCCAGTTATATTGAAGCTGGTACTTCGCAGAGGTTGAAGCCTCTTTCACAGCGAATGCTTTGCCTCTCTGTGGAGGAAACACATTTCACTCGTATCACATACTTTGCCAAGCTTGCCCATGTCATTCCCGTCTTGTTGTTAGTTTGCGCCGATACCGGCAAGGCGATACCTGAATTGCTGAAGATTTTTGTGAAGATCGATAAAGACTTTCAGCTGCACAGAGGCCGGTCAGTGACCGGCGCCAAACAAAGGCCGCATGGATCCTCTTTTGGCTCAGTGCTTAGGCACTCAGAGCATCTGGTTTTCTGATTGTTTCACATCTCAAGCTTGGCAAACATTTCGTTGCGAGGAGTTCTGTCAAAGGGTGACCTGCTGTTACACTTGGAAAGAAAACGTGTGCAGATGGTAGAAATGACATGAAATGACTTCTTAAACCTTGCTGGCAATTTTTCAAGGATGAGAGTGGTATCATCTCTCGTGATGAAATGGCGTCGGTGCATGAGAATGTGTTGCCTCGGCGGTTGATGGACTCTGCCTGTGTGGGATCCATCCTGGACTTCTTTGACTTTTTGGACGTGGATGAGAAAGGAGAGCTGCTTGCTGTGCAGAGCTGCTCTGTGCTTTTTACTTTTGGACGCAGCGCAGAGTCGGAACCGCAATAGTCTTTTCTGGGGTGAGAAGTGTGAGGTGTTGGTGGAGGAACTTTGTGGTGACCAAACACACACACACACACACACACCTGCTGGCTCAAGGATATGCGTAACAGTGGACGTAGTGCTGACAGGGCGTAATGCTGACATGCCATAATGCAACGTATATCATGCTGGCATGTTGTCATGCTGACATTTTTCATTTTCATAGTGTCAGGCTGCCATGCTTGTATGGTTTGCGCTGTCATGTCGACATTCCAACATGTTGTCAATCTGTCATGCTAACTTGCAAAGACGGGGTCATGCTGACGTGCCGTTTTTGCTGACATGCAAACATGTTGTTGTTACAACACCTTACTGAGGTGTTGTCATGCCGATATGTTGACATGGTGTGCCATCCGAGGAAACGTAATAAAGGCCCAACAAACATTTCCAACAGCTGGGCATTAATCCGCCTAGTAAGCATTGGCAGCCCTCACTCGAACTTTCTGATATGTAAATATGCCACGGCTTCTTTTGGCTACGCCAACGCCCTGCATTATATGACTGAAGTCAGTGCGGGGTACGGCTGGGAAAAAAGTAAGCATTGGCAGCATCGCGCTCGCCAAAAGTTGCTGTGTCTTTACCGGACAAAGCTGGTTCGAAACATGTGACCCTATTCAATGCGACAAGCATGCATCACACAATCGGAAATATAATGTTGGCATAACGCATGTGCCCAAATATGTGCAAGCACGACATGGCCACAACAAGCAAGAAGCAGGCAACCCACTCTGGAGCCTGAGAGCATGTCAGCGAGACAGCATGACCCAACATCAGTATCTCAGCGTGACAACGTGTCAGCATGTCAGTGTTGCCCATATCAGCATGAGAACTTGTCATCATGATGTCCGTGAGGAACGTGGTTCCTTGATCTTTGTAGCAAAGGTGGCGCAACTAGTTCGAGCTGTCAGGATTCCCTCCTGTTTTTTGGACAAGGTGAAACACTTGGTTCAGGAATGCTACCGCAGGGAGGTTTGTGGGGCACTATTTTTGTAAAGAATGCGTTTTGAAGAGATCCGCAGATGAGACACCTGTGCCCATCAGAACTTGGGGAAGAGAAGGGGAATACGTTCTGCATGTGTTGCAGTTTCAAAGGCAGGAGTGGAGTAAGAGAGTTGCGAAGCTTTTTGCATCATTGCAATGAGGTTGACACAGGAAGAGTTTGTGGAAGGATTGCTGAATCTATGCCTGCTGGAAATGCCAATCCACGCTATTCAGACTCTGAAACTGCTGCACCTGACCGTGAACATTTGCAGAAAAATTGACCAAAACTTGGAGGCGGGTGACAAACACTTTTGCAGCGACAAGAATTCGGTGCTTCGAGCTCTTCTCTTTTGATGTCAGGTGCTTCGAGCTCGCACTTTGGGCAGTATTCCTGACAAGGGCACCAATGGCGATGTGTGCTCTCCTGGCCTCCTTTGGCCTCAGGAGTCCTAAGGCCCTAAGGCACAGCACATAATTCCGGCTGCTAAAAATGTGGGAACCACATAGTGCTGAGTGTTGGAGTGTTGGCACGTGATATCTTTTTGTGGAAACTGGACTCGTAAGACTGCTGAGACCCAGCAGGTTGGATGAGGGATCCAGATAGGTTTAAGTGAGATGCATTCGTGGCTGATAACGAGTCTGGAGACGATCATGTGTTTTGGGGAATGTAAGCTTCCCCTGATCACTTCTTGACCTGCACGAGGGCTTTGACTGCAAAGCAGCTCAGACCCACGCTTCTACTTCTGCTTGCCACTGTAGAGAAAATGCTTTTTGCACCTTCAGGTGCAAATCGGTCAGACGCATGTTGTTTGCAGAGGAGATCACTTTGCAGGTATGGGGGACAGACAAGTGTACCATTGCCATGAAGCTGTTTGCCGATTGGCTCCAGTGCCAGTTGGCGATGCAGTCTTCAGTCTGTTTTCGTGCGAGTGTAAAGCAACCGCATGCAGAGACAAAGGCAAATTTATGTCCTTGGCTTGATCCGACCTTTCATTGTCTAAGTCCCTCCTAGACTCCCTGTTTCCTATTTGTTTGGTTCTTCATTTTCCCAGCTGTGTACCTGTTGTACCACCTGTGAAAGATGAAAAAGGCGCAACCGGCGCAACCATCCACCTAAATCCACCTCAATCCACCTCCACGTCTCAACCACCCAAAGACCTGCTCGCCTCGCGCCTTCCGCGTGCCGATGAGCCTCGTGGAGGCGGTCCGAGGGCCCCTCGTGTGGGTGACAAACCGTCGGGATTCCTCCAGCTTTTTCGTTCGGTCTTTCGCATCATTTCACCGATTTTTTTCCACCTATTTCACTCTCTTTCCCGTCATGTAGACTCTTGATTTTTGAACAACACATCCTCATCTCGGATAATTATGGTCCTCAAGAGTCCACGTTCCGAACGCAGGAAGATCTTCCGGGCCACTATCTCATTGTGCACAACAATGCAGCGGTCCGTGCCGACGCGCTGGGTGCTCAGGAGCTTCACCGGGCTTCGCCAAAAAGGGGCTATGGGAACACCTTCGTGTGAACTGGTGAACTTTGAACTGAAGATACTCGCTGTCTACAGAAGGGCGTTCTTATTAGGAACAAGGACACTACTAGTACAGTAGCTCCTGGCCTTACTACTAGTAGTAGCTCCTGGCATCGCTACGAACGGAGCATTCTTACTACAAATCGGACACAAACGACCTGCCACACTCGCAGACTTGCGACGAGCGAGTGGATCCAGCGAGCGCCGGCAGGTCGTTGGACTCTCCGGTGGCCCGGGCACTTGGAACGTCGGTCGCAGCTGGCCTCGTCGCATCGTTCGCCGCTCGAGGTGGCGCAGCTGGCCGCAGGCGAAGTCGTTCACGTGCTGGAGGCGAAGTGGTTCACGTTCGATGAAACATGGCCGACAAAGTCAGTTCCTCTGGTTGAATCCGACCACGGCGCTCTTGATTTTTTCTCGGGGTTTTCAGGTGCTGCCCATACCCGAAGCCAACAGGGTGGCAGCCTGGAGCAGGGCAAGGAAAGAGTTGGGGCACTTCTGCTTGGAAATACTTAACGAATTCTCAATTCACAACTAATTCGGCTCAACCAGCTTTCATTTCGACTCGTTCGAAGTTCCCAGTTTGGCGACGTCGACATGACCAATCCTTCTGTTTCTGTAAATGAGGTTCTTCCTGAGGTGCATGGAGCAGCGGAAGAGTCGGAGCTCTTAAAGCTGTTGCAGAACGCAGGTTTGGAGGAATGGTACTCGAAGTTCCTCTCTTTCGGGTATGAAACCGTGGAGGATGTTCAGGGCATGGATGAGCGTTGCATGGAGGAGATCGGGCTACGTGGTGGGCACCGCATCCGTTTGGAGCGCGTCTTGCAGAGCCAAGCGGGCAAGCCAACACAAGCTCACACCACCACAGCTCGACCGGAGAACATTCACTCCCAACCTCCACTTTGCCAACAGGGGAACTGCAAGCAGATCGCCGGATCCAAATGCCGTGAATGTAACAAGCTTTTGTGCTTGGTCCATGTGAGCACGATCCAAAAAAAGGAGAGCGTCGGAAATACAACCGTCATCAAAGACATTCCTGGTTGCTCTGCATGCAAAAAGGCATGCGAGGATGCTGATCAGCGCAGGAGTATCATTCAATGCGCGGTGGGTGTCGGTGTTCTCATCATTGGAGGTGGGATTTTTGGTTCCATGGCATCGTCCATGTGACCTAACATGCCGGACGAGAATTCCTGAGATTGCACGTTCACGCGGAGTTTGTTTAGACAGAAAGCAAACTTCCAGTGCGACCAGTTGAGATTGCAAGTGATCTTTTGACTCCCTACACGCCAACGTCTTGTATAGAAGGTTTGCTAGGATGCACAGAAAGATCAGTTTTAGTTCCCTTGCATGGCCAGGTCAAAAGGATTTGGAGCTTTGCAATGGAAGATAATGTCTGTAAGGACATTTTACTGGATGCAAAAAGGACTTGCTTTCTTTTGCACTTGTTACTGTGCTTGTTTACTCAGTTGAAACTTGTAGATGCGGAAGGGAAGCTCACCGAATGGATGCCTTCGGCCAAGGTTAGAGGGAAGCTGGAGCATCCAAGTGGTTGGATTTCTTTGGTAGAACTCAAGGCATGGCAAGAAATGGCTACCAAAGCTCTGAAAAAACTAACTGGAACTCCAAAGCTCTTCCGCTCCAAACTTGGAGAACAGCTCCAAACTTCGTGTCAGGAGGGCTACCGCTGGGCACTGCGGCAGGCGCTGGCTGGACACAGTCTTTCACTTGGAAAATGTTCACCGCACAGCACCATGACAGGAGCGTGCTCCAGTTGATCCTTGGGCTCTTGAAAAGGCGAAGAACATTCGACTTAGACTTGTAAAAATCACTTATTCCATCCTTCTCTTCGCTCCTCTACCCTTTCCAAAACTAGCATGTCTCAAGTCATAAACGCCTTAATCACCTTAATCAGCCTTTTCAGCCTGAGATGAGACATCTACTGCCATTTTACCGCCGAAGCGTAGCCGTCATGCAGTCTCAGCTGGCAACGGAGCTGAAGCTACGAGACGCGGAGCTCAAGCGTTGGACGGTGCCTCTGGCAATCGCCGGAACGTCGGTGGACGTCGTCCGAAGATCGTCAGAGTATATCCTTTGTTAACTACTTTGTCAACATTTGGATGTGTTCTTTTCGTTTTCGCCTTTGGAGCTCTTTCTTTCTTTGTTTTAAACAGGTAGCCGCAGTCTCGGCCGCTCCAGCCGTGCAGGTCTTGGCGGAGCGTCTCCGTGCCGAGCGACAGCGGTCTTTGGAGACTTGCACGGAGCTGGCCGCCTACCTGGAGGATCGGGTGATCGGTTGGTGACTCTTCCGCTTAAAAATGGACGGTGTTTCGGAGTCGGGAGCAGATGCAAGTTGGGAGCATTTCTTGGAGGGGTCTCGGAACTTGGAAACAGTTGGTTATTCAATTTGGAAGACATTTTGCACAAATACATCAGAGAATGCACTTGGTGTGAGCCCGGAAGGAGCGCATCCTCGAGGGATATCGAATGTCGGGCGCTCATTCTTCTCAGATGGTAGGAATCTCTGCATGTGTGCACCTTCCAATATATAAAACTTGAAGTTTCCTGTGTAAAGTACACCTCATATGTATAGACACAGTTCATGAACATTTGTACTTTTGGCTCAAGTGATCAAAAAGGCCGCAGCCGCTGCCACTTCGCGGACACGGCGGTCTTTACTGAGAGTTGGTTTCTTGTTGTTGTTTGTGTTGGTGTTCCGTTTTCCAACGGTTCAAGTGGTTATCAGCCGTATCGGCTTTTGATTGTTTTTCGGTTTCTGTTACAACACAACAACATCTTTCATTAGTGTGGTTGCGGGGTCCACAGAAAGCCCGTGCATGTCAGGTCGGCGTCCTCGAGAGCCGTCCCGTTCGCCAATTCGTCGGACGCTGCGGCCTCCTGAACCCCCAGGGCCACCGCCAAGGAGGCCACTGCCACCGACGCCTCCTGATCCTCCGAGGCGCGGTATCCGGGGAGGAGCTGCCGCACGGCGACGCAGAGAGGCGTACATTGTCAATTCGGGAGGCGATCGAGCGACGGTTCCGATTGTTCACGCTGGCGGTCAGAGAAGGCCACTTGGAACTTCTAGGTTTTGGGAGCCGAGTGCAAGCGAGGATTCGGGTGAGGAGACTGACGAAGTTGAGTTTGTTGCGCATACATCAGCAGTTGATTTGACTTCGTTGCAGGCTGAGCATCTTGTGCCGCGTTCAAGGCTCTACAATCCGTAACTCTTCGATCATTCGCCTGGCTCGTCAAGTTTGGCTGCGGCCCCAAGGCCTGTTCCGAGTCGAGCGGATTCGAGTGTTGTTGACACGCCTGCCGGAAATCGGCCTTACGACATCCTCAAGTACTACCACCCGGCGCCTGGAGTCGTTCTTCACCCGTGGTCGCGAGTTGACATTGTTTACAGAGAGGCCTTGACTTTTCCGTCCTCAGCCAAGTTTTACGTGTGGGCGAACGGTGATACGTTGAGGCTGGCTGCAGAAAGGCCGAATCACTGGGGCTCTGATCCGGTGATTGCATTGGACTACCATCAGGTCCTTGACGTTGATCGGAGTGTCAATCCTCCGGATCGTGTGGATCATTTTGGTAATCTGCCTGCGGGCCACGTTGCAGCAGTTCGTCGCTTGCGAAGGGAGATTGAAGAGGTCGGTTTGCGTTGTCGAGTGAAGATCATTGTTTTGTCGCACATTCACGACAGTGTGGTGAACGAGAGGAACTTGATCACTGCTGTACAACAGAGTTCATTGTCGGTTGATTGTGTGATCATCACTCGTGAAAGGACGGGCTCAGGTGGAAAGTTTGAAGTGCTGAGATCGTTGACTCGTGGTCAGGCTGTGATTTTGGACGACAACGTTGAGGTGCTGCGTGAGTTCAGTGCGGCGAGCCTCATCGCTATTCAGATTCGCAAGCCTCGGGTCGGAGCGATTTTTGACGAAGAGCAAAGGTCTTGGAGTTTTTCAGCATCTTGGTTGGTGGATCGTTTGGTGACTTTCGTGCATCACCATTCGAATCCAGTTGACGAGGAAGAGTGAAGTTGCATCGAAGCTGCTCCGGTCCGGCTGCTTTGAGCGCCACAGAGCCTTCGTTCGTTAGGCCAGTTCCCAAAAGAGCCTGTGCCAATTGTGCATTCGTTCCCGCCGAAAAGAAAGAAGGGTTTGGGAGAGTTTGGATAGTTGGCCAGTGAATCATGTCAGAAGAACAATCTTCATCGTTGAATGTCAGTTCAGATACTACTGTTGGTGGTTTGGCAGTTGCTGTTCGGAGCAGGTCCCAATCCTCCCATGGTTCCGGAACACCCCATGAGGGAAGGAGATCAAAACCTCCAAAGAGATCTTTGAGCAGAGTCATCAAAAACATGCCCAAAGGTAATCAGTCCCAGGTTCAAGCAGAGGGGTCATCAGTGGTTGAACCATCCATTCCTGCGCTCACTGATCTTCGGTCTTTGCCTTCGTCCAGTGGGTTGCTTCAGCGGTCGGTTGGTCCATCCGAGTTCCAGGGTACCGGAGAGGAAGATGAAGTCATGCCTAATCAAACTAGCTTGACACAAGAATTGCACCTTCATGACGCCCGGTCTTTTAACACGGTCCAGGTGGCATATGTTGGTATTGATCATGCAGAGTTCGGTCGTGTTGTAGCTGAGTCTCAACGACTGATCGGGGAAGCGGACTCTAGAGCTTCGCACTTTGAAGGTGTCGCTCAACAAGTCTTTCAGGAAGCCACAGCTCACATCGGTCACCTGACGTCCCTGGTCGAAGAACTCCGTAGCCGTAGTCAGAATGAAATGCTCCAAACAGGTCACACCGAGAAAGATGTCATGATCACCAGCTTGCATGAAGCGGTCCAAGAGGTAAAGCAAACCCTTGAGAACCAGATCAAATTCAACCAGTCCATGTTTGAGGGTCAACTTCGCAAAGCGAAAGATGAGATCGACCGTTTGTCCGACCTCAATCAAAAGTCCCTCAACCTTTTAGGCCATAAAGATTCAGAAATCCAGCGTCTTTGCCAAGAGTCTTCGTCTCGACAAGATCGCATCTCGTCGCTGGAGGCCCGACTGGCTGCTTCAAGCGCCGCGGTCATCCAGTCGCCTGCACCTGCTTTCGTTCCGAAGCCTGTGCCTGATGCATCTTCGCCCAAGGACACTGAAGGAGGCAACAGAATGTTGGAGTCGATTATGGAAGCTGTTCAGTCACTCAGTTCCAGAATGTTGACACTTGAATCAAGCCGAAATAGCACGGATCTAAATCGTGAGCCTCGACCTTTGTTCGATCGTTCGCGTGACACAGTTGTCCATTCATCCTCGCTTCCTGTAGGACCTTCTCGTGGACTTCGTGTTGGCAAAGGCTTTCCCGGAGGTCCGCCCGATCCAATCGATCAGGGGGGTGGAGGGTCGGACGACGATGAAGAGGAGTTGATTTCAGAGTCGCCCTCACATGCCTCAGAAAGGGAGATTGTTGATTCTAGAGCTTTGTTGCACACCAAACTGGAAGTGGTCCCTCAGAGTGCTGCAGACTTTAGAGCTTGGAAGACAAACTTCTTTCTGATGCTTGGCCGCTTGGACATTTCGTCGAATGAATACCTTTCCAAGTGGGCTGCAACGGCTTTCGAGGTAGGTCAGGAGAAAGAATGCCAGAGTTCATCAGGCCTGATCCCAAGGTTTGATAGGTGGCTTGCATCTGAGCTTCTCAAGAATGTGCGGTCAAGCCCTGAGTTGTTGTTCAAAGTCCAGGGTTATGTTGAGCGGTGCACTCGTCAGTCCACAGTCCCTCGGGGTAGGATGATCTTGTACATGATTGCTCGACATTTCGATCTCGATCGTACTCGTGGTTCATTGCTCACATCGCAAAGCATCTTTCAGGTGGAACTCAATGGTTTTTCGTTGAAAGATCTCCAGGAGTTTAGCGGTACAGTCATGAAGGCCTTGAACTCCATTGACCCTGCCGACTGGCCGAATCAGAGAATGTTAGGTGACTGGTTGTTCCATCGGTTGAGAAACGTTCGAAAGCTTGAAAGGACCATCGACGAGATCAAACGCTCCGCATATAGCTCGGAACTTCGTGATTTCGACTTCCTTTGGGGAAGGTTGCAGGAGCACCTCGTTGAGGAAAGGGAAGATACCAATGCTAGGCCCATTGAGCTTTCGTTGAAGCCAAAGTCGTGGAAGAAAGATCCAAAGGAGAAGTCGAATCCTCTTGCAAACCCTGCAAAGGCTGCCGCGGTTCCGCCACCACCTCCTAAGGAGACACCGGCGGCTCCAGCTGATCCTTCGTCGCCCAAGAATGACCCTAAGGGTAAAAGTGGCAAAGGTGATAAAGGCAAAGGTGAGAAGGGAAAAGGTAAAGGCAAGGGTTTGAGCAAGGAAGACAAGGCGAAAACGCCTTGCGTGTTCTTCCAAATGCCTTCCGGTTGTGTGCACGGCAGTTCATGCGCGTACTTGCATGAGAAGGTCAAGCCTGATGCCAAAGCCGAAGCAACGGCTAAGCCAAAGGCCCAGCCAAAGCCGAAAGCCAAGGCAATGGCTGCTGTTGCCATTGTTGCTGCCCTCTCATCGATGGCCATGCCAGTTGAAGGCCGTCTAGAGTTTGCTGCAGACACAGGTGCCGGCCGACGTCTCGTCTCTCCGCAAAGCTTAGAAAGGCAGGGAGTGTCTCCAGAGGTGTTCAGCCAGTTCCAGCTTCCTTCACATGAGAGCCTGAGGTTTTCGACAGGTGGAGGAAAGAGAGATTCGAGCGATGCAATCGGTCTTAGGGATCGTGAAGGCATCTTTCAAGAGGCAAATCACTTCGTGCTTGACTCATGCCCGTTTGTCCGGTCTGTCGGTCTTGATGTTAGCAATGGTATGGGGTTTTTGTGGTTGCCCAATCAACTCCCATGCTATATAAAAGACTGCAATCAATTCCAGTTCCAAACGGATGAAAGCAATTTGATTCGAGCATCGAGGGTTGATCAGTATGTACCATATTTCTCCAGATCATTTGATTTCATTCCAGGCGTACCAGGTGAGGTGGAACCTGTTGAAGCAGAACCCGAGGTCCGATCTCCTGAAGGTGCGATTCCGCATTCAGTTGCAGACGACATTCGTGGCGTTGCTCCAGGTGAGGCTTTGCCAAAGGTCCCTGAATCTGAGAAGTTCGTGCGTGAACGGGAACTTGCACTGTCCACCAAGCATTGCATGACACATTTCCCTAAGTCCGCACTTTGTGATGTTTGCAATCGTGCTAGGCTGTACTCAAAACGCATCAGATCCCATCGTAGAGCAGACGAAGAGAGTGATCTTCCTGTTCCTGAAGCGTTCGGCCAGCAAATTGCATGTGATCACATGATCGTTTCAAAGTCTTCGTCGGGGAAGGAATTTGTTGTTCTTGTGGTGATGGACTTGTTCAGCAAAGTTTTCCAAGCATATCCTCTGGCAACAAAAGACACTGATTCGGTCAAGGAAGCCCTGAACCATTTTGTGGGTGTAAAGGCCAAGAACCCTCAAACCATTTGTAAGTCAGACTGTGCCAAGGAGCTTCTGAAAGCCATTCGTTCACTCGGTTGGTTGTCAGACGCATCATTGCCTAGGAGATGGCCTCACAACAGTGTACTTGAAAGACAAATCAGGTCCTTTGAAGAATCTTGCAGAAGCATGCACTTGCAAGCAGGATTCGCGGTGTTCCCAAAGCTTTGGACCCTGACATGCCAGTACACAGCTGTTTCCATGAGCATCGAGCATTGGTCAAAGGCTTTTGGTTCTGAGTTCAAAGGTGCAGATTACATTTTGGGTCAGTTGGTTTTCTATAGAACAAAGTTTCAAGAGAAGTCAAAACTCGCCCCCAATTCTTCACCAGCCCTAATGGGAGGTTGGAAGCTTGAGTTTGGGTGTCGGTACAAAGGTGTTTTGAGACTTGTGGATTACAACTCCTTGAAGCAAGGTCATGTTTCCATTGTGGTCGCCCCGGATCAAGAGGTTTATGTTCGTGATGAGCGCGTGTTTCCGTTGAGAGATCTTGCAGAGAAGGCATTGAATGATTTCTCGGATCCTGATGTTCGTCAACTCGCTGACGTGGATCCTTTGCCAATTCCTTTCATCGAAGATACCCCAGAGACTAAGTCTAAAGCACGCAGAGTTTACATCACGTACAGTAGGATGCTGAAGATCGGCCCGACCAAGGGATGCAAAGGTTGTGATGCTGATTCGTCTGCACACAATGCCGAATGCATTGCCCGGTATGAGGAAGCGTTCGGTGCTGCTCCTTCGACCCCAGCGCCTGAGCCTCCGACCTTCGAAATGCCGGAGATCCTAGGAGACTTGATTGACGAAGAGTACACCCCAACTGTTTTGTCAGAGGCCGAAGAGGATGAAGAGGAGATTGTCCCAGAATGTCCTCCGCCCTCTGATGATGATGAAGATGAACCTGAGGGTGATGAAGCTCGTGTCCATGCAGGCATTAATGCCGTCCTTGCCATGTCTCATGATGCCATTTTCAAGAAAGCTCCAGAAACGATTGTTCAAGAAACGTATGCATCAGCAGTCGCTGCAAGCAATGAGAGCTGTCTAGGAGCAGCTGCAAAGCCTGAGCGTCTACACAGTCAGATCCACAATTCCCCAGGTGGAAAGATTTTGTTTGAATCTGCCTGTGCTTCAGACTCAGCGCTCGGTAGGATTGGTGAGGAGCTTGGAGTTCAAATTGTAAGACTTTGTAAGGAACACATAGATCTCGCAAGTAAAGCAAACATCGACCAACTTGTTGAGCAAGTGAAAGCCATCCCTGGTTGTTCAATCCATGGTTCCATTGAGTGTGGTCCCTGGAGTGCTTGGCAAAGGTTGAATGAAGCAAAGAACCCAAGATTGTCCAACATCCTTCGAGAGAAGCGTAGGGAAAGTGTTTCAATGATGCATTCGTTCATCAGGGTTGCAAACCATGTTCTTGATAATGGTGGTTTTGTGTCTTTTGAGTGGCCAAGGTATTGTTCAGGGTGGATGAGTGAACCCCTAGCTTCCTGGATCACAGAAAGGCAATTGCTGTCTGCCACTTTCGATGGCTGCACAGTGGGAATCACTGCCAAGGACAACAAACCCGCTCGAAAGCCGTGGAGGTTTGTCACGAATAATAAGAGGTTAGCTGATTCTTTGGGAATGTTGAAGTGCACGCATGACAAGCATGCACCCCTTGAAGGGAAATACACTCGAAACTCAGCTTTCTACCCAGAGCCTCTTTGTCAGATCATGTTGCATGCTTTGTTTCCACATGTCATCAATGCTCATGTGTTTTGCATGCCGTGCACACCTCGCGTGATTCATTCACATCGGCAGCATGTTGTCAAAGGGATGCCATGTGTTCCCATTGATGTCCTCATGCATGAGAGTGGATGTAAGGAGTTTGTAACACCAGCATTCGTTCATCGTCTGTTAGAGCGTGCTGAATGGAAGGGTCGCCCAGAAGTTTACCTTGCCATTAAAAGCGAGAAAGATGGTTTGGTTTTGGAAGGGACTTGGATTGAAGATGAGATTAGGTCAAAAGCAGACGTGATCAGGGAATTCCCCAATGAAACACTGCATTTCGGAGCCCTAATGGTGATAGTTAGCATAAAGGGATATGAAAAGAACCCAGCTGACTGGAAGATCAAGGCTCGGATTGTTTTCCGAGGTGACGCAGTCAAGGATCAGGGGGGCTTGAGCGCCATCTTCCAAGATCTTGCTGCTTCCGCTCCGAGTTCAATTGCAGCATTGAACACAGTGATAGCCTTTTCAATGATCGAGGGAAACACTTGTTCAACATCCGATTGCGTCCGGGCCTATATTCAGTCCGCACTCGGCACGAAGCATCGAACATTTGTGATGCTACCGCCTGAGCTTGTGCCAGAGTCCAAGAAACACATCCACATGCCTTGCGCGCAGCTGTACAAGAGCCTCTATGGCCATCCAGAGTCGTCGGCGCACTGGCAGGCCCACCTTTCCAAAATCTTGCAAGAAAAACTTAACGGTGTCGAGTTCAGTGAGATGCCCTCGGTTTTTCGGTTCGGTCGTTCTCTAGTGATGAGCGTCTATGTAGACGACCTCACACTCTCAGGAGTAGCCTCCGAACATGAAGGATTCTGGAAAACCCTCAAGCAGTATATAAATTTAGATCCACCGTCAGAATATGGAAGAGTCTTAGGACGAAACCATAGGCTTGTGTGGTTTCAAGGGAGCAAAGCAGTGGCCTTAGAATCATCTGACTTCGCAAAACAGTGCGTTGAACTGTATGAAGAGCTGGCGAAAACGCCGGTGAAGGCCTATTCCTCGCCCTCATGGGACGATGGAGCCCTGATCCCCGCTGATGACGAGGTCAAGGGACAGCTCTCGCCACATTCGGCCAAATTAATTATGAAGTTGATGTGGCTCTGTCGCATTAGCAGACCAGACGTCACATTTGCTGTCACTCTGTTGGCGAAACACATTACGGTGTGGTCGGCCAACGACGATAAAAGAGTCGCAAGACTCATTGGGTACTTGCAAAAGACCCATGAATACTCCCCGATAATGTGCATTCGTGATCCGCCAGAGCAGTTGAACTTGTCTCTGTATTGCGATGCCGATTTCGGTGGTGACATTAAATCTATGCGTTCAACCTCTGGATTCATCCTTGCAGTTGCGGGTCCCTCCAGCTTTGCGCCAGTGAGTTGGAGTTCCAAGAGGCAGAGCGTGGTTGCAAGATCGACCACGGAGAGCGAGTTCGTCTCACTTTCCAGTGCCTTATTCTCCGAGGCGATTCCTACCTTGGAGGTATGGCAAGCGTTGATCCCCGGAATGACCCTGAAGGTTTTCGAAGACAATACAGCTGTGGTCTCGATTATCCAGAAAGGTTACTCCAATAAATTAAGGCATTTGAGTAAAACCCACCGCATAAATGTGGCCTCAACTGCCGAAACTGTCAACAATGCTGATGACATCACAGTCCAGCATATCGAAACGACTCAGCAAAAGGGTGACGTGTTTACTAAAGGATTGCCGTTGTCCAAATGGGGAAATGCCTTGGAGTTGTTGCAGTTCTCCCTGAGTCCGCTCCCGTCTTATGATGCAGGCAGGAGCTCGCATGACTAGAGCTAAGCAATAGTCAGCCGCAGTTCAAAGCTAAGCTAGATCTGCAATGAATGAAATGGTTAAAGCTAAGCGATAACCAGCAGCAGCTTGAAACTAAGTTAGAGCTGCCTCGAATGAAAGTCTAGACAATGCATGCAGCACAGTGCTACTGCCCAGCGTAGCGCCAAACTTGCATGAAGGGTGACTGGCTGCTTGAAGCGCCGCTCCCAAGCTGCCGTTCGTAAGCCTGTTAGGTTAAGCTTGCAGTCTTTCGATAGGAATTGTCAGGTCACAGACGGTTCAAGCAATGAAGCGACTGTCTCAGACCTGGAATACTAGCTGTACATATGTTCATCTCACTATGAGGGGGGACTTGAAGTTTCCTGTGTAAAGTACACCTCATATGTATAGACACAGTTCATGAACATTTGTACTTTTGGCTCAAGTGATCAAAAAGGCCGCAGCCGCTGCCACTTCGCGGACACGGCGGTCTTTACTGAGAGTTGGTTTCTTGTTGTTGTTTGTGTTGGTGTTCCGTTTTCCAACGGTTCAAGTAATGTGTGCACCTTCCAATATATAAATCAATGGCCGGTCCAACGTTGTCAGCGCACAAAAACCCAAGTAATGCATTCCAGAGCATAATGCAGGTAACACACCGACCACCAGGCTTTGTCTGCGACATGCCAGATTATTCAAGTTTGACAACGACACCTTTGACGCGCTGAGACCTACTGGAAGCTTCCGGCCTGCAGACGCCGCAGCTTTTGCTCACTCTGCCAAGGTTCAACTGCGAATGACTGCATCGTGTCGGAGTTCAGTTTTGACACCACAGTCTCCAGCTATGCGAATCTTGTGAAACCATGGTCTCCCTGAGTGGTCTGTCAGAGCCCCTGAACAGATGCCTGCTCGTCGTTCAAAACCTTCCCCGAGCAACCTTCAATCAACGAATCAACGGTTGACATTTAATGCGCAGCTCCTTCTAAGCCTCTTCCAAACTTTCTTAGCTTGGGAGGCGCAAGAGATGCAACAGCTGGCCTCCAAGCTTGGCCTGGGGCCCCTGTGGTGTTCTCGTTGACGGTGCGTCGCAGAAACTGCGTCAAGCAAATCTAAGCGGTTTTCGGTGGCATTTGTCTGGGCATTCGACCAGCTCTTCAGGAATTCAACCAGCTGTCCTGTCCGTCACTCATGGAGCGATGACAACAAAACAACCTTACATTTTGATGGACTCTGCCCCCACACAAGGTCTAAGACGGCTGTGCCCAAAGCAGCTGAAGAGGCACGCCTCTAGCTGAGAAGTGAAGATTTGTTGAGACTGTTTACAGCCAGGAGGACCCTGCATACCAAGTGCCTGCTGGGCTTCCACCAGGCTCCAAGGCAGGAAAACATCTTTTTCGATTGAGTCCTGAAAGCTGTGGACCGCAGTGGACCAGAAAGTTGAGTAAAGGGAACTGATGCGCAGTTTTCCTATCTTTTGCTTAGATGGTCACGTTTGACAATCTGCTTCCAGTCGAGGGACTGTTGCTCTTTTTTGGAGTGGAGGTTGTGGGCTTCCGGCGGAAGACAGTTGAAACAGAGGCATTGGGTCAAAGTGCATGACCAGGTGGTTGAATTATATGGACATTTGCAGATGCTTTCATGATGTCTTTCTCTCGTTCTCTTCAAATCCTTCAACTATGCCTTTCAATCAAACGCTGCAAACGGGAATGAGCTGAGACGGGGAATGAGACCAGAGTTCAGCTCGCGCAGTGTCCCCAGAGGCTGAAGCAGAGCCTTCCATTGCCATCCAGGCAGAGCTTGGCGGAGCGCCGCGGTTCCGTCCGCGGCGCGCCGGTGACGGTGTTCCGGTGACGGTGACGCCTTGGAAGTCGCCGTTAGGGCCAGGGTCGTGTGCTTCACTCCAATGCCATTCTACAGTCCGGACCTCAACCCCGACCTCATCCAAGCTGCTTTCACTGCTTTCGCACTTGGAGGCCCAGCAATGCCTACTGTTCGGATCTCCAAGCACCTGGTGTGTGTGGGACACAGCCATTTCTCTCCACATGAGAGGCTTCATGAAAGCAAAAAACTCCCGAGGTATCCCTTGGCAAGGCCACCAAGCTTGGCTGCGAGGAACCTCCTTGACCGACCTGCGGCCGCACCTGGCAAATCTAACGAGAAGTGGTCCTATGAGGGCGACTTCTTTCAGGAGCCTTTGCGGCTTTTTTTCTCGAAATTCCTTGGCGGGTTGCTGGCATCAAATTCTGGCAGGACAGAAGCTTCATGGCAAGCAAGCCTTTGACCCAACAACATTGAGTCAGATTCAGTCAGATCGTCCAATTTCACCTCAGTCAAACCCCGTGAGGTTACATGGGTTCCAGGAGCTCAGTGGAGTCAGTGGGCCTCTCAGTCTGTCCGTAGCGGCGGCTACGAGCGGCGGCTACGAGCGCGGCGCAAGGCGCTGTGAGTTCCGAAGCTCCTCGTGATGGGCCAGTGGATCAAGCAGCGCGGGCCATTGCAGTATCCTAAGGGGGAACAACAGGTGTTTCTTTGAGTTGAAAGTCTCTTGAAGGGATCCTCTCCCTCCAATCCTTGTTATCTTTGGCTTCTCCGCATCGATCGATCGATGTTCGCTTTTTCAGCATCGATCGATCTGCTCTCCTCTTAGGTCAGCGCTCTTCATGGCCCTATGAGCTGAGAGGGCACCGTGTGTATCCTTTCGTGCGAGGTGAGCGACGGCGACCGGCGGGTGAAAAGGATGCGCCGCTGGCATCGTCTTGTGAAAACCACCGCTGAAGCGAATCGGGCACTGACGCGTCGATGCAAAGTGTTGCTAGAGCCTCAAAACCATCTCGAACTCGAAGGAGATTTATAGCATCTTATAGCTTGTAGGGCTTCTGTTGATGGAACATTGATGGGGGAACCTTTGCAGCTGCTTTGGCTCGGGAAGCTCAGTATGTGATGCTTTTGGACATACGAGCCCCGCGCAGCTAGAAAGGCGGGCTGAAACGGTGGTAGCAAGAACTTGGTCCGAATTTCAAGCATCAGATTCAAGACATATTTTGTGATGTCAGTGACCTCCAATGTTAATCGTTTTTTCTTTTCTCAAAATCACACACAATATTTACATATTTATTTTCTTCAACATGCATTTCTCAAGCTGATTTTGTTGGCGAAACCCATCGCGAAGCTCCTTCGTGGTCGCAGGATCAGCCCAGCGCGCAGCGCGTGGTGGCCTTCCTTGGTCGCCATGGGGCAGATCATGGGGATCATCATCAACGTGATATCCCAGGCAGTTTCGGGATCACGCATCGCGAAAGGAATCAGCTCATCAAATCTGTGCTTTGCTCGTCGTCACGTCAACCTGTTGATTCACTATCGTGTCTCGATGTCACATGGCTGTGGGTCAAAACCAGGAACAGGACACCTTGGTTGGCCATGGTTAAGCTATCTGGAAGGTCGTTCGCTCTGTGGACGGGGCGGGCGAACATGGTTGAACGACCCATCCCCACATATCTTCACTGACATCCTAGTAGCGTTCTTGCTCCTAGTAACGATGCCAGGAGCCCCTAGTAGCTTTTTGTTCCTCATGTCACAGATCTTTGCATGGGACACCTGGAATCATCGGATTGCCCTTGAGAAGGCTCAGCGGGATCCTTTGGAGAACCTGCGCCTGGCGGTTGAACGTGCAGAAGCCGCAGGTGTTGAGGAGGACCGAGTCGTGGAGGTTGCATTGCAAGGAAAGTTCAATTGAGAAAAGAGGAGACATGAGGAGAGTAAGCAAATCATCAGAGAGGAGTCCACACGATCAGATTCCATGCAGTTTTCTGAATGAAGGCAGAAGTCCTTTACATGTTTGTCGTGTCTCCAGCATGACATATGACCCAACATGTGCAGACTTTCGGTGGTTGTCTTCCAAACGTCAAAATCGTCAAACCTGTGTTTTCCACGTTACTTTAAATTATTGCTCTTAGGTTGGAGGCCACTGCTCTTAGCTTTAACTCATTTTAAATCGGTGTCCTACCTGGCTGACAGGATACACTCGATGACGTGAGGACGAAGCTGGCAGAGCTGGAGAATGAAGTTGGCAAGGACTGTTGGTGCCTGTCCGCGGACGTGTTTTTACGCTCCTGTTTGGTCACACAGGGTTGCAGCTGAACCAACTGTTTTGGTCAGTATGTCACCAGGTGTCCTCCATCGTTGGTCCGCTTTTTTTCCCAGATAGCAAGAGCTGTTACTTTAAGTATAGGAAGAGGTTGCTATTTGTTGCGTAACATGGGGTCTATGCTGGCGTCAACCGGTCGAGCGGTTGACGCTGTTGGGAACTCTGAGCATCGCCACAGGAATTGTCGATTTCGATTCGACATGCGGTGAGCGGCGAGACTCTCACGGTGGTGCGCCAAAGACGAAGACGAAGACTTGCAGAAGAAGCAGAGTAAAACGGATGTTTCTCATTGAGTAAAACTTCTGGACAAACAAGAGAGTTGCTGAAGACTTTCAATACTTCTTCTGAAACGATTGTTCAGAATTCTCTATATTCGTCTTCTCCGCTTTGCAGCTGTGCTCTCCACGGTTCCACCCCATGAGCGAGGCCTTCCGGTTCCGTTCCAGGTACGAGCGAGGCCTTCCCATACGCCTGGCTACCTTCGAGAGCACGTGCTCAGGTCCACAGGAGCGGAGACGATGTCGGATGCACACCGAGCGTTGCGACAGCGAGTAGCGTCCTTGCTCCTAGTAGCGATGGCCTCCGCCTTTATGTATCAGATATCACAAAGACAAAGTAATGGAGTCCACTATTTCTGAGATGTCGGATGAAGCCTATCATATCTATGATGTTTGTGGTTATTGTGGTTCTTTCTTTTCTTTGAATAGCAAAGATAAGATTCAGCAATGCCCTCGAGTTCCCGGTTTCCCCACTGTTTTCACCCTAAGAGACGCAAGAGATGCGAGGAGAGGGCGGGGTAGCTCTTCATTTCCTTTTTCAGTCGCAGGCGGCGGTGTGTGAGAGGAAAGTTGTTGGAAACCTATGGCAACGCCGTTCAAAGACCATTGAAATCTGTTCCCACAGGTGTTGGACGAAAAGGTAAGCCTCAGAGAGGCAGGCCTGTCTGATGGCGACACGGTGTTCTTGGTTCAGACGCCCCTGCTTTGTGTCAGCGACCTCAGTTTGCTTTGCATCCTTGGTTCTGACCCTATAGACCTGATGTTACGTTTGCTGCTCAGCTCACGGCCTCGTTCGATGGCACGGCACGGATTTGGTGGAGCCGGCCAGTTGACGGTGAACGGGTCAAAACGCTGAGCCATATTGGCGGGTCAAAACCGCCTCCAACGAAGTCACGTCTGGGTCCCCACATGTTCTGACATGCGGTTTTCCCATCCGGACCGCATGACGGCGGTATGACCGTGGCATTGCTTCTCAGCTTTGTGAGCCGATGTGAATCATAAAGGAATCGAAGGCATTAAGCATCTATATACTATATCTGTGGCGTTTGGAGTGTTTGGATGTGTCGTTGGCGGCATTGCCAGGTACCTGCAGAATGGAGATTGCCGCAAAATGCTAGTTGCTCGGCAAGGAGGGCAGGCCTGGATTGAATTCTTCAGACCCGATTGCACAAGTCTCAAGGTGTCCTAACAACGACATTTTCACCAGACAAAACATTTGTTTTTTTTGTAAAGCCTTCTTTGATTCTGCATGATCGTGCAAACTGGTTCTCTTGTGGCATGATACGCAGTTGTGTAGCTCCAAGCCTTTTGTGCAGGTCCAGTCGGCCACGTTTTCCCAAGATGGATCAAAGCTTCTCACTGTCTCATTGGATGGTGAGGGAAAGCTGTGGTGCCCGTGCTCAGAGAAATGGTCGACGTGGACATGCCGGTAGAAGATGATCTTGTTACTTGTTCTTTCCTGCATGAAACTGAAGAAATCTCATTTGCCCACTTGCGGTCCCTTGAAACCGAAGCGCGGCGGGAGGTCTGTTTTACTTCATTGTTTTCTTCATTTTTGAAGAGCGGAAGATTTGTGAAGAGCGCATTGCACGCTACTAGTAACACAGGGCATTACTACTAGGAGCAAGGACGCTACGAACGTAGCTCCTGGCCTTACTACTAGGAACAAGGACGCTAATAGTAGCTAGAAGCTACTAGGTGGACGTTGAAGACCGAGGTGTGCCGAAAGTGGCCGTCTTTGCTGTGAGCTTTCTGGGCAGCCGGGTGGAGTCCTGTCGGGGGAATTTTCGGCCGATAGCCACTGGATTACGGGTGCATCGGACGATTGCACCGCGATCGTGGCGACTGGCATGTGTTTTCAGGATTTTTTTGAAGGTTTCGATTTGAGAAGGGAACGAAAGAGACGAAGAACGGAACAGAAACGGGTCTAAAGGCCTAGAGAAAAGAAAGAGAAGAACGAAAAGAAACAGCTCCATCCATATAAAGAAACGTCGGTTCACATTTTCTGGAATTGGGTTCACTTGGAAAGCTCTGATTCTTCCATTTTTCGGACTCCGGTGATCGTGTGGCCAGATCTGGAATGCCGACACGGGGAAGTGCTCACAGATCCTTGCGGGTCACGATGATGATGTGCTACCTGCCATGGCTTGACCGAGGTCTGTACGACGTCACCAATGGGTGAGTCACCAGTCTTGACCGACCGAAGCACGACATGACAGGTGAAATCAGCCGCATTTTCACCGGACGCCTCAATGGTCGTGACAGCCTCTTGCGACGGTGCGCGCTGTATGGCGATGTGTGTCTTCGTTGGGATGTGTTCTGATGATCGTACTCTTACATTCCCATCCACATCATCTTCGATGTGTTGCAAAGCTCATATCATACAGGTCTCTTGTTGTAGTGACAATCTTGCAATAACATGCAATATCATGCAATGACACCCTTTCTCACAGCAGTTTACTGTGCGCTTCGTTTAATAGGTATATGATGTTTGCACTCACCTTTACAGCTCTGTTGACTGTGCTTGACTGGTGCAGGTGTCCACTGTTGAAACAGGCAACACACTTCCTTTCCCTCACACCTTTTGTCCTGCGACATGTGGTGGTCAACTAAGATTAGGGTGGGTGCACCCTGTGAATTGTGTCCTGCAGGCACTGCTGGCTTGTGGATGGCAACAGATGGCAGCCGCATTAGGGCTTTAGTCCTGGCCTTGGAATTCACAATCGGCATGTTTTGAATCAAGCACTATCGACTATCGACTTCATTTCGCTGCCTCTGAGATGCGAAATGCCATGTTTACGCCATCAAAATGTCAGGTTGGGCACGACGATGTTGCGTCAGCCTGAGATTTAACATGAAGCGGCGACGAACAGCTATGATTACTTATTTTTTTCTCTATATCACATGAAGGGTTCCTGAAGTTTTCAGTGGTTATCCTTTGTTCTATTCTCCTCTTTCTATCTTTTTATTTTATGTTCTTTCCTTCTTTTTTGGGGTACTGTTCTACGGTACGGCAAGGTGAAGTCTGCGATGTTCTCCTACGATGGACTCCGCATCATCACGGCCTCCATGGATGGAACCGCGCGAGCACCGGCACCCAGGACAAAGCCCGACACGGTGTGCACGGATGTGCACGGTGCAAGGTACAGTCTTTTTGGGGCGACCAAGGCAACCTCGTTATTACTTTTTTTTGCTTTTCCAAGTTCTTCCCCGCTTAGTTTGGGATGACTTGATGACTTAGCTTGCGGTGGATTTTTTTGTGGATGGTTTCGGATGATTTTCTTGCGCCCGCTGACAAAGGTCTGGAATGTAGATCCAGGCGGGTGCCTGCAGGTACTTCAAGGACATGCAAAGGCCTGGCGGGCCTGGCTGACGTGGCTGGCTTTTTCGTTGGTTTCCTGTGACTTTCGGACGTGTGTCAAGCATCGGGACTCACAGGCAGTCAACAGTGCGGCCTTTTCACCGGACGACTTGTTGCAACTTGGTGGCTTTAGATTCGGTACATGTGGGCTGAATGCCTCAGGATCCAGATCACATTGGGAGTTGGGGTCACCCTCTGGATGGAGAGAGTGCAGAAATCTGAAGCAGTACACTTGGTGATGAGAAGAATGCATGCTTCAAGGTATTTGACAACCTCCTTTGACGGCACTGTCCGCGTGTGGGAAGCAGAGTCAGGCCCATTTTTGTGATTGTGAAGGATTTCAGCAAGCCATTTTGCATTGGCAGGAGAGTGTAATCTTGTGCTGCATGCCGACAACAAAGCCACTTTTCCGCAGTAAAAGGACACACTCAAGCTCATGCGCTCTAACTAGCTCTAACAAGCGCTCGAGATCAAGTTGTTGCAACCTTTTTCAGACGCACTCAGACGACTGGTAGCGAGTGTTGTCTGAGGTCGTGAACACTGCGCAGTTCTCACCCGACGGCAGGAAGCCCAGAGTTGAGAACCGAAGAGAACTAAGAGGTGAAACACTCCAGACCAGAAGACCTATCAACACTAATGGACAGTTGAAGGCTCCATGATCCTGGTGGCATCCGGCACGGAGTGCGTCCGGTTGTTGAGTGCAACGACAGGCGCCAATTGCAAGCTGAAACAAATGCACGTCATTTTCCTGGCACACCTGACCCTTGAAAGTCCTGTTCTTGGAGACGTCTACCTGCGCTGTGAGGTGAATGTATTACGACTTTGGATGGGCACGAGGATTGGGTACGCACCGCCACCTTTTCACCAGATGGTGCGATGCTAAGCTGTGAATCGCTGTGCAGACAATACTTCAAGCTGTGAAGTGTTCACTCCAGAACTTCGAGCATTTCTTGTGAAACCAAAAGGTATGCTCATAGCATCTGCATCCTACGACGGCACTGCAAGGCGGGACCGGTAAGGTTCGGAGGAATGAGCGGTGAAGACTGGGGTGAGAAGCAGAGAGAACAGGGAGAAGAATGGCCGAGAATGGCTGACTGAGAAGGAAACAAGAGGTTGAAACATCAACCGTGCAAGAAGAAGTTGTCATGGGAACAGACGCCTGGCTGCACAGCTACAAGTTCGGAGTAGTACCTCCAATGTGTATGACAATATGTTTCGAGCAGAGGCAACTCCTTAGCTTTTGCCGCACCAAAGAAACCCAAAGGCGCAAGAAGCTCAAATGCGATACTGCCGTGGACAGTTGGCTTGACCGAACCAGTACACCTTTGGTCAGTGCAATTTAACCAACAGGGCAATTATCTAAATTGATAGATTGCGCAACTTTGCAACTTTCGTCCAAAGTGTTTCGGGCGCACCGATTTGGCTGCCAACAAGATACGACTTTACAAGTTGAAGTCTGTAGGTGAAGTCCCGATTTTTGTTGTTCTCTTATATAATATTTTACTTTTTTTACTTTGGGATTGTGACCTGATTTCGCTTGATTTGGCCGAGCTCGAAGTAGTGTTTTGCATCATCCTTTCTCTTTCTGCTCTGGTTTCAGTGCATGGTGGCTTCCAGGGTCTGGAGCTCCAGAACCGGCGAGTGCCTACAGACATTGGCTGGTCATACGGCACAGACCTCAGACTCTCTGTTGGTCAACGTCGTTTCGGAGCAATTATTGTAGAAGTTCGGAGCTTTCTAGAGTTGAAGGGCGAAAGCGGAGCACGGAAAGATAATGAAGTCTTATATAAATGAAGTACAAGGTGCACCCCAGCAATCGGCAAAATGAACCCATTTGGTGTGAAGGATTTGAAAGCGGCCCCGGCTGAGGAAGCTGTCATCTCTGCTGAAATCATCACAGCATAAAGGCCAGCGCAATGAACAAAGGCGATCAAGCAGGATGGTGCCATTGACGCCACACCATCCGACATGCCGTTCCCGGACTCCAGGTTACATCCAATGTGGAGTGAACGCGTTCGCCCGATGCCGCTGTGGCGATACAGAGCAATGGAGAAGTCGTGTAGAGAATTCCGATGCTCTTGGGAATCATAGGCGACTTATAGGTCATAGATGCAAAAGGATGCAACTCTAGGACTTCATTTTGTCCACGCTCCAATGCTCGACTTATCACAGCCTTCAGTGATCAATTCCGGGCGTTCGGCGTTCGTGATCGAAGTTTTTAGGAATTCACATTGAATTCCGGAGCGAAACTGAGGATGTATTTTCCGTGCCTCAGAGTTTGTCAGACGCTCCCAAGCAGGTCCTCCCTTTTGTCGGCCATAGAACCGACTTGGGAACCGACACATTAGGGAAAAGAGACTTGAAGTCTTTTCAGCCAGCGAGTGGTCATGAACGTCAGTGAATGGTAGAAACCACAGTCTTTTCATCACGACCTTTTTGTGCTGTGAAGCATTCGCTTGGCCACACTGACTGCAAAGCCCTTGCTCCTGTTTCCTACAGGGCAAAGAATGCAGCACAAATGCTACACACTCGCATTTCACATTTCTTTCTAAGAACTGAATCACATCCTCTAGTCTAGTTCTTGAAGCCAATTTCATAAAAACAAAGGAACATCGAGCTGAAAGGTTTGGCATTTTTCGCCACATGTGGCACTTCTGCAACACTTCCGCAGTTTTGTGCCAAGAAGCGAACGCGGCGAAGACGTTTACTCTTTTGTCTGGCAGCCCCTGTGGCGACGCAAGCTTCACTGAAGGCTTCGAACTCACAGGTGGCCGCAACTGCTGATGGCTACGTAGGTGAGAAGAATGCTGCCAGACTTCAACGAAACAAGAACAGGATGGAACGAATCAAAGATTTGTATTCTTTCAAAGAACACAGTGAGAGAAATATGGTCAGTGCTTAAAAGCTCAAGAACTCTTGCTTTGAATTTCGAGTGCTGGCTCTGGCTGTTTTTGGAACGGGTTGTAAATGGGCAAAGTCGCATGAAGCTGTTCCCAGCGCAGGGCCAAGAAAGCAGTTTTTGAAGAGGTCTGCGCCAATGATGATGAGACGAGATACGTTGCAGCGAAACAACACGTTTTGAACTCTCGGCGCCCCACGCCAGATCTGCATCGCATGAGTAGATGAGCATCCGACCTTTGAAGAAGTACAGTCATATGAAGAATCAAGATTTCATTGGGATGTTTTGGATTTTGCAACGTTTGTTTGGATGTGGTTGCACCGGAGCAGATCGGCTAGCCTACCTGATGGTAGTTGCAGGTGGAGGGCATTCAAGCTGAACTTGGAGGGCATGGTGACAATGGAAAGAAGCCATTTGAAGGTATTTGATTGTCTTATTTGTTAGATTTTTGTCTGGCGATTTGCTGGACATGCAGATATGGAATATCATCCGGGGCATACACGCCCCAAACTCGTCGCTGTTGCCCGAGTGCAGGATGCACATGGCTTGCCTGCATCGTTCACTTGAGTTCATCGTTTGAGAACTCGACAGCTGCGCTTTGAATTTCAAGGCGGCGCGGGTCTTGGACCAAACACCACTGGCTTGGAAAAATGGAGCTTTGACCACTCAGCTTCGTTCCTAATTTTCTGAGTCGATTTTGCAAAGGCTTTGCAGCAGCTTGTCAGGAGAGCAACGGAGCAATGTGGCTCAAGTTCAGCGGTTCTAAACATCGGTTCCATGCACATGTTCTAACAGCAAGGTGCAGACCGTGGACTTGGAAAGATGAAGGTGTTTGGACAAACACGATGGTGGCACAATCTACAACTTTCTCTTGTGGGCGAGTTCCCTCACCCTCGAAGCTGGCTAGGCTTAGCAATGTTGTTGTTTTCGTGCTTTCTCGGGAAAAAATGAGACGCTAAAGCGAGGCAAGTTCTGTTTTGGCTTTCAGATGCTTCAACTACTTTGACTTCCCAGATGCGCCATGGTGTTCTTTTCGGCCTCATGCAGGCCTGCGACCGCACCTTGTTCTGCGGTAGCGCCTGTAGACGCCGTCTTTTGTCTTGTGAGAGTGATGTCCAGTTCCGCAGGATGGCCGGTCTCCGAGTTCGCGGATATCGCCAGGCCTGTCACCATGCTATCCCTAGGCCCTATGCCATCCCTATGCTGTTTAAACATTTTCCAACAAAGCAACGAACCAAAACTTAGAGACTACTGATTTTAGGATAGGGACTGACTGGAAGAAGGAGCGAGAATAAGAAGCAGCAAGCATAGATTAGCCTAATCAATGAACAGCGACCACAATGTACAGATATGAGATTGCCGGCTGTCTGTCTGCTGGTGTCAGTCTTTTGCCGAATTACCCAATTTTTGTTTGTATACTTGTGGACATATGGGACAACTGGTAATGTAAGACCAGTCGAAGGGCAGACGCAGACGTCACAGAGACAACAAACATGTCAAATATTGTTGCAAGGCCACAATAGAGTACCGCAGACAGAAAGACATGAGATAATTTACTATTAGGTTGGAGGCCATCGCTATTGGGTTGGAGGCGATTACTTGTAAATCAGACTTGGAAAACTTTGCAAACAAAGCCAGCCAATCTTCAGACCCTTGTGCCCGTTGCTAACTTGCTGGCTGGAAGATTGATCAAAGTTTATAGGGACATGTGCTGAATTAGTTGCATTGAATATGAGCTATGTAATGGAAGAATAAAGACACCTTAGGTCAACTGTTTGGATCACAGGGTGGAAGCATTTTTTGATGCGTTGGGACTCTGACTTGCATGTTCTAAGGAAAACATAGGGGAGAAGGTTTCTAGATCTCACGACCAAAGTTCTTTGGGCCGACTAGAGAAAACTATTTGTTAACACCCAAGGTGTTCCCCACTGGACAAGAAATATGTGATCCAACGATTATTCTAGATTGTTTTTCGTGATTCCGCGGTTCAAAAACGTGTGTCAATCAAGAGACCGCAGTATGTTGAGAAAACCCTTGCAGAGCTTGCACAACACACTCTGGTTTTGAATGTGATCAAAAACGTTCACCAGTGAAAGATTGCTACTTCTATGCAAAAGACCTCATGCACAGGCGGCGAGTGCTGCTGAGATCATGAGTGCTGCTGAGATCAAGAGAAAGCTTGCGATAGCGATAGAGACGGATCCCAGGGAAGCCTGGTCCACAGTGCTTCCTCTTGTAATGCTGGCGCGGAAAGGTATTTCACATACTGTATCACATACCTGCCCCTTTTGAAGCTCTGCAAGGTACAGAAGCACTCTGACTCTGGTGAGACTTAATCTTGCTCTGAAACTGTGGTTACTACCACAGGCAGAACTACCTAAGAAAGGGGGGGAGAACCTCGCGGTTCTGGGCAACGAGACTGGTGCCACATGTGGTGCCAGCCGCCCAGGTGTTGAAGAAAGAAGTGGTGAAGGATCCAGTGCTGAAAGCACCTCTACGAGTACCCTGGCTTTGAACTTGGGCTTCCCAAAAATAGACACATCGGCCACTTTTCACCTTGTCTCACCTCACATGGTCAAGATGTCTTTGGGTGAAGAGGCAAGACGTGAAAAAACGGGCCTAGACCTAGACAACTTTGAACAGAGAAATCCTTGAACTCAGACGAACTTGCAGGAGGGTCCTCGACTTCGATGGGGCCGTGGTTCTTCACGCTCGCGCGCTCGGGCCGAGCGTGAGGCCGCGGCGCAGAGACAGCAAGAGACGCTAGCTACAACGCCCACTCAAGATGGTGCTTGGAACTTCAAGGTTCTATACAGCACATAAACCTGGAGGTTCTTCAACTCTGGCGAGTTTTGTCATTCTCCAATCTTGGACATGGTTGAACATCCGAGCATCGCGTGCTTCCTTTCGTTGGACTTTCAAGGCGCGGGAGGCTACAGCCATGCAGCGCATGCAGCAATCCATTGGCAACTCGCCCATAGGTGCGCTGATGAAACAGGACAGGCGACATAATGCAAGCACCACTTGGACCATCCAAAAGAGTGGCACAAAAGATTACGTGATTTGTCGGCGCGAAGATAGGCCATTTGTTTCAACAGATTCTGGTAGATAAACATGCAGCTGATGACTCGCCAAGTCAATATCTGGTGCACAAATAGAGTGTGTTTTCCTCTACCGGCTCTCTAAACCAATTTCGGTTTGTGGCTAAATGGTGACCTTACCAGACCGACATCAGCGATGAACTTCGTTTTGACTCCGATTCGTTGCACCCCAAACGATCGGGACGTCTCGCCGTCTCGCGGTTCGCGACGAAAACGGAGGCCTTTACCCGGTCTACGACATCCCACGCAACGTCGCCAGCAGCTTCGTGGGGACCAAGGTGGGGGCAAAAAGGCTGTCAAACAGCGTCAACGAGCTGACGCTGACTGTCTGTGCTTGTCTTTTCGTTGAATCTCACATGTTTCGACCAACGAAAATGCTTGAACCCAAAAGTATCACATTTCGGGCCTTCTGGTCTGAGATTTCAAGTTTCAAGCCGTCATTTGCAACATTCAGGTGCTGCAACCGGCATCCTTGCGCTATGCACTGGCGCAGGCACTAGAGACTGTGGCAAGATATGTCTTGCATCCAGGTAGAAGACACCACTTCTGGCAAGATTGAAGAACAAGAACGGAAAGAAGAATGTGTAGAGTCGGAAGAGCAACATGCTCAAAGACGATCAAACCTTTCAACGAAAAGCTCTGGCAAATGTTTTTGGAGGCGGCAGAAGATGTGAAGTGGTCCCAATCTGGCGATGGTCGGCCCGCCAATTTTGTTGAAAGGACTTCGAGAGACTTCAGGGATGCTTCAATGCCCTTTCAGCGTTGTCGTACTTTTTGCAGCGTGTTAGACTTGGCAGAGTGATAGTGCTCGATAGTGCTTGACACAGTGATGGTCGTCCCGTTGCTTCCGCAAATAGTGCGCATGGCCTGTGCAGGCGCATGGGTGTCCAGTGGCAAGGAGGCATGGTTGTCCTGTCTGAGTTGTCGCATGGTGTCGCATGTTGTCGCATGGCATTCAACCAGTTGTGTTAGCGTCCTTGCTCCTAGTAGCGATGCCCTTGATTCCTAGTAGCTACTTGCTCCTAGTAGTACGGCCAGGAGCCCCTAGTAGCTTCCTTGCTCCTAGTAGCTTCAACCAGTTTTGTAGTCTCAGTGTTTAACCGCACTTTTTCACCGCCGCCGCTCAGCTTCAGGGTTTGAATGTGACCATGCAGGACCAGCACGGAAGGTCAGGAAACTCCAGGGCTTCTATCCACTGGCATCCACCAAGAAGATTCCCCAAACTGCGCTTGACCTGACGGTCACCGACCCCCCAGAGCACCAATTGCTGACCGTGGCCGTTTGAGCGAGACTTCACTGCAAGGCTTCCAACCGAAACACGCTTAGGCCTTCACGCAAAACGAGGCCTGTGTGGCTTCGATCGCTAGTCCCAACAGCACGCAGCGACGCACGCAGAGCACGCAGCGCCAACCGAAGCGAGCGTGCCCGGTTCCGAATTGGGGCCGCATCTTCACCATGAGCGACTTGCTGGTGAAACCGCTGCCGGAGCGAGTAGCGCGCCTGGAAAAGGCGCGTGACAGCATGAAGCCTTTAGACTCTTTGGCAGCACGACATGTTTTTTGCTTCCTTCTTTTCGTTTTGTTTTTGCAAATCTTGCTTTTGGGAGAATTCATGACTCACGCCTCACTACATGTCATGCTTCACACAATAGTACGCTGTGTGATTTAGTTCTCGTTTTCAGAAATGAATGCAGTTATTTTCTTCGATTTGCCGAGGAGAACACATTCCAGTTTGCCAACAACTGCGAAACTGTGCTTACCTCGGTGCTAGCAAGGCTCTGTGTCACACCATGTCACACGCTGGTGCGTGATGTGTTGCGATGTTCTGCCCAAGGTCTTCAGAGAGTTTCGTATCTCCTGCGTCCACTTGCGCCGAGAGCGCGAAGCTTTGGACTCACTTGAGGAGAAGGATGTGGCCTGGAGGTTTCTGTGCAAGCTGTGTCGAGAAAGGCCAGGTATCCCATGTGCTTATTGTAAGTAAAGGTAATACCCAGAGACCATACAGGTCTTTTTTTTTCGCCATCGCTTTTCGTGCACGCACGTCGCCGCCCCAAAACCCCGTGCGGAGGCCCTTCTTGCACGATCGAGTTCACGAGGTGCTCCAGATCTTGATGATGAGCGAAGTGTGGATGAAAGCTTTTGCCGAGGCCTTCGGCACACCGTGCGGAGTCGACGAGTCGACGAGTCGACGAGTCGACCGGGTCATTTCGGACTCGTCCACCACGCCGCACGGGTCGCAGGATCCGGAGTGTCAAGTCGAAGACCTACCTCCTGAGATGCAGAGCGAATTTAAGCGACGGGCGGAACAGGCCGGAGCTACATGGAGAAGCAGCACACGTCATAGAGACTTGGGTGCCCTTCTAGGTTCTTACTTGGTTGACCTGCGCCTGTTATGTTCCATGTGGTCCGAATGCATCCGCTGCTAGGCCCTAGATCCAAACGCGAAAGATGACGGATACCCGCCAAGAAAGTCATCACATCAGGTGCCGGGCTTTTGATCACCATTTGTTCAGTTTTCTTCTTGGACTTCAGCTTCGTTGCATTCTTGTGGTGCTTCGCCTGTTTTGCCATTTGTCAGGAGTTCAAAGCAAGCGGCACCATTGCAGTAGTTGTTCAGCGCTGTCTCAAAGCCAGACTCCTGGTCGATGAAGCAGCGGATAGCTGGGTTGGACGCTGAGTCAAGCGAGTCAGCTCATGGCTTTTGGTTCTTCCGGACTCTTTTGGCTTGTTTGAACATGTTTGAACTCAAACATGTCGGGCTTTTTAGAATTTGTCAGTTGTTGGACTCGGTCTTAAGAGTCACCAGTGCCCCCAAAAGAATCAAAGGACATCTCAGTTTCGGATGGACTTCCCAAAATAACGACCACCGCCCAGTTCAACCGGAGCGTTCAACCGGAGCGCCGATCGGGTTGGGTCTCAGGCAGAGATCGGTCGAGGGCTTTTCGTGGCCGTTTCCTTCACCAAGAGCGCGACCGAAGAGAAGCTGGGCCCCGCGGCGAGGCGTGGGACAGTCTTCACGCCCGGTGGACGCCCGGTGAACGAGTGTGGGATCTTGATGAGTGAACCTTTTCACCCTGTTAGAGTCTCATTGTTTAGCCACTGGCTGGTGCTTTGCATTCCGTGTTTCTACATGATTTACAAATTTTCCGCCGCTAGCCGCTAGCCTAGGAGATGTTTGATCGCTGGTTGGATTGAGTCGTTTGAGAAGCTGAAATAGAAACCAAGCAACCAGTCTCTCACTGCGTAGTTTTTCACATCGATTTCTGTGGCCTGGCTTCTTCATAAAAAGGACGAAGTCATCAAGCCAAAAGACCGTGAAGTTAACACTTGTTCGGGAGTGAAGAAAGGAATATACCCAAAATACCGATACCAGAGGTTGAACAAAGTTGAACCAAGGAATCGACCCAAATGTCTGGTTTCTTCATGTTTCTTCGATTTCGCCACGCAGACATCAGGTTTCTTCTGACGGCGAAGCTGTCCAGAGGAGAGAGTTCCGAGGAGGCTTGGGGAGAGAAGTCAGAGCAAGCATGGCGAGGGATGTCTTAAAGAGATGTGTCTTGACACTTGAGGCGGAGTCAGTGGTGACTTTGTGCCAGAAGGAGTATCAGGGCATCCTTGTCCTTCCACAGGTGGGGTGTACAGTTTTCTTTCTTTACAAAAGGCCATTGTGGAAAATAATATGTAGGATTCGCTCAGATCACTGTTTCATTAATTATTGTTTCTTTTCTTAAATATGTGTGTGTGCTCGTTTGTTGCCTTTGGTGACGAAGGCAACACCGATGGAAAAAAACGCACAGATTCCGTGCTTTTAGCATTGTGCTGATGATTCCAAGGCATCTTTGGTCTCTGACCTCAAGGAGAGATACCGAACTCGCAGACATAAAGGCAAAAGCAGTTATATATGCAGACAGTCCTCATGGCCCCACTACATTTTGTCATGCAGTTCACATTTTCACAGATTGCTGTGCTTTGGCAGGACACTGATGTCAGGCAGCCTTCAATGTGTGAGGATGCTTGCAAGATTTGGGGAAACAATTCATTTTTTGGTATCTAGTACTGTGCACCGTACCAAAAGCTCCTCATGAAAACGCACACATTGCCCAGGGATGCCCAGGGCATGTCGCAGTATGCCTTGCTTTTTTCTTTTTTGTCACAACCCTTGCTCTTCCTACGATGATGGTGCCTAAACATGGCGCTGTTTCTAATTCTTCTCACAGTGGACGCCGTCAGAGTCGGACGCGTCTGAGATACCGAACACCGGTCTGTGAGACGTCGCAGATACTCCCAGCAGCTGGGGAAGAGCCGGTCACACGTCCTCTACGATCACTTCGTCCAGGCTCGGTGATGACTGGTGGGTTCGTAAGCCTTAAGCCACAAGGAGTAGCAATTGGTTATTTTCTTTTTTCAGACGATTTGGCTTCTTCAATTTCCAAAGATGAATTGAGCTAGTGTGGGAGGTTTGCTACAGTAGTGGTCCTGGTGGAGATTTCAGTAAAAGAGGCTCAACCATTGAGATAAAAATAGTTTTTACCCGATAGCTTCCCTCAAGCTACAAGCGGATCCTCACAAACGGTCAGAGCCTTGCTACTGCTTGCTAGTCTGATGAACAACTCATCCAAGTATATAGAATTATACAAAGCTTACAGTAGTACTTTTTGAGAGGTTCATCCCCCAAAACAGCCAGAAACCGCATCCAACAGGCAGGTTCAGAAGCTTTCGCCTGTTTTGATGCCTTTCCTGAGACCCTTCACGCGGCTGCTGCCGAGCTCAGCGAGGGCCGAGGGCCGCAGATCCTGGCAGGCGAAACATCGACCGGGGGGATCGACTGGCGGAACATCTGCAGGTTGAAGAAAGGTCGCCATGGGTCGCTGGGTGTTTTTGATATATTAGTGCCTATTATTACTGTCGTGGAGTGGAGTGGGAAGCTTTTTGCTTCTAGTGTTGTGAGAAGGAAAACCATATTTCGCTTTGAGATGCATATGTTGACAAAGAGAGAAGCATGAGAGATCAAGAGCGTGAAGAGGACTGGGAGTTTACAATAATAGTAATAATTATAGTTATATATATATATAATACATACCTTGAAGAATTCCTCACAACCTTCTTGTCTTGTCTACTTGTTTCTGTGATCTTGACTGCCAGGTGCGTTTGATGGACCCCAGGTGATGGAAATGTCCTCGGCTGGACCATTTATGCATTCCTTCTCGGTTTAGCAAGCGTAGCAAGAGGCGGCATTCCAAGTGGAATCGTTTTGAAGCTGCGAAACCACCTCTTGAGAGGCTCAGTTGAAAGGAACTCCAGAATAGCAACGACCTTTCCTCTACCTTTCTGTGTTGTGAACTGCGGGAGAGAGAAGGGGAAACGCTCTGTCCTCGAAGTTCTCAATGGCTTCGTTGCACAAAAGGTTGAGCACCATCCGGGTTCCGAACTCTGAGAGTCTCAAATTCCATTTGGATCCCCACACCGAGACAGCAGACCCGCGATGACACAGACGCGCTCTGCAGAGCCGCACGTAACGTGCTGGTGCACATGTGCGGGGAAAAGAGTTCCGGCAGCTTTTCTCGAGACTTGGCTGTTCCCGTTGACTTCACAACAGCCCACGCCTGATCAAAACGGTGCTGACATTTCTGGTTTCGGGACCTTTGGTTGGCCAAGCCGGTTCGCGCGACTTGTTTTGCCAAGGGGGTAGGTACCCGCCCGTGCCCCACAGCTTCGTTGGGAGTTGTTGGAACGCCAAAGATAGCAACAGATCAGATTCCAGGAAGTGGAGCTGATTGAAGAAGAAGAAGAAGGAGAAGAAGAAGGAGATGCTGATAATGAAGACGCGTGAAGATAGTTGGACGCAAAGATGTTTCACCTTGCGAGAACAAAATGCATGGACCGATTGCCTCGCACCTTGAATTCCATTCTACTAAGTTGGTGGGCCTTGATTTTTTGCCGCCAAGATCCCAGGCTCAAAGTTTATAATTCAATCTCGGAATCTCATCCCACAACGAATTCACGGATAGCTTTTCCTCTGCAACCTAGAACTTAACTTCAAAGAAAAGGTCTTTCATTCGAAACTCACAAACACCGCCAGCCCTCCAATGGCCCCGGGATGTGCCAGTTGTTTCTCCACGCGATTGCGAGCGCCGCGATCCTCCGAGCGCCGCGAGCGCGGTGAGTCGGACTCGGAGCCCGACGGACCGGAGACGAAGATGCGGCATCTTCCCGAGCGCCGTGGAGCGAGATCCGTGCGGACGCCGAAAACGGAGCGAGACCGGGTGACGGAGCGCGGAGCACTGAGCGCGGTGACCGTGAGCTCTTCCCCGGTGCCCTCCACGAAAAGTGGGTCAAGCGCATTAGCCTCACCTGTGACGGTGGATGAGCCACTTCTCAGTGACCCTGACTTTGCGGTTTTTCCCAAGAGTGTGCAGGTGGCACGTCTTCCCCTGGTTATATTTGATGATGAGGTGGAAGAACAAAGGATTTGGGAAGAAGGCTCTGTAAACAATGGAGTTGTGAGCCATGGGCCTGGGCCTCCTGATATCAAGGTCAAGAATCCGGTGGTGATGTCAAACGCCTTCAAGGGCTTTGTCGTCCAACCATATGAGTTGCGATATCTTCACTACCGGAATGTTGGCATTGTTTTCGCACGCCCCCCCGGTGGGCGCTTCATGCAACCCAGCATCGATACGGTTCTCGTGTGCAGAGGCTTGGTGGACTGTTTGCAAAGCTTCAAGACAGTGACGCGATTGATCGATGTTGGATCTGGTTCTGGCTTCATTGGGAAGTTTGCAGGGCATTATGCCCAGGGTCCTTCCGAACTGGAAGTGACACTAGTGGACATCGACCCGACAGCCATCAGTTATTACAAGAACCGGACCTTCAATTCGGAGAGTGCCACCATGACAGGCAGGCCAATTGATTGGAAATTCTGTGCGGAAGATGCTGTGAGCTTGCTAGACCATGACTCGGCCTTTGACCTTATTGTGTCCAACCCACCTTACATCCCTACCAAATCTGAAGCCTCTGGTAGCTTGTCACCACTCTCTGGTGGCTTTTGGGAAGGTGTTGGTTTGGTGGTGTATTTGTTGAAACTCATCTCTCAGCGTGCTGCCTCGGGCGCGCGGCTGGTGTTGATGATCACATCATTGACATTGAAGGCACCAGCGATCCTCGAGGCTCTAGAGACTGTAGTGAAGAAGGGCTGCCGCATGAAGATCTTGTTGGAAAGAGAGATCGCATGGAAGGCGCGGTAGAAAAAGACATGAAAACACACATGTGAAGAGGAAACAGGAGAACACAAAGAGCCAACACCGAGAAGCTGATTTGGACTATTCAATTCAGCAGTAGATTTGCACACAGTCTATCTGTGTATCTTCACCATAAGCGTTCCCTTACTCAAAAACTTTACCAATTTAGGGGTGCCTACCCTGCAGGCGTGGTATGCCGGGCCACATTCATTAGATCACTTGCTTGCTACTGAGAAGGAGTCTCGCTACCCCCACCAAGTGGCGGGCTGCGAGTTTTTCATCGGGGCGACAGCACCAGGCAGCAGCCGCACTGGCAAGGATGGTCGGGATCAGATGTTCGGCTACCATTGGCATGTTGCTTACGTCCTTGAAATTCAGGCATGTTGAAACAGCTCCATGTTCTTTTGGGCGTGTGATGCACGCAGTAAAAAATAAACGCCAAATGGATCAGTAGTGCACGTGCAAAATTTGGGAAGCACCCAGAAGAGTAGGACCCGGGTAGGACCCTGGACTGTGAAATTCCGTGAACAGGACATCTCCAAGACCTTGTCTTGGATGTCGTTTCACAGCTCCAAGACACAGCTCCGTGTGCAGCCGCAACCCACAGATCTTCAGCAACATGGCTTTTCAGAGTTGCAGACACAACTTTCGAGTGCTGTAGTTGGTCATTGCTATATCTTTGTTTTTTCTGGGTTGCTATTTGAAAGGCTGCGTTTCATAGGGCACCACGAAGAACATGCTTGTGTCCTGGAAGGCCAACGTTTTAGCAGTTCTGGCTCAACTTTTGGAATGCCTGGCACACTTCGCTTCATTTTCATCAGGCATAGTTGAGCTTCGAGCTGGATATTTTGAGCTCGTGCATTTGGGGGAAAGACCGGAGTGACCGGACCGGAGTGACTACATGTTGCTGCATGTCTGACGTGCAAGTGTCTGACGAGTTGCGTCTGGGAACATCGCTCCGGAACCGGCTCAACCCGACAGTGTGTCAGTTGAGCTAGGTGGGTCGAACTCTTGAGCTCATTCACTTCAGAGATGTAGAAGAGATGCCTCATTCGATGTCAGTTCACACAATGCAATGCCTATAGCCTAGAAGGAAGATCAGACACTCTTCAGTGCTTTTCGCACATGCCCTCGCCTCGACTCCATGCCGCTCTCCGTGTCGGACCGCCGCACGGCGGTGCGGCAGTTCGTGGCGGACCGGCACGGCCGGCCGGAGGACAAGCGCCTGGACGGCGTTCGTTCGAGGTCGACGCCGTCGAAGGCGCCGGAGATCCTGCGGGGCGAAGAGGTCGCCGAGCGGCGGCAAGCGGCGTTGGCCCGGGTGCGGCAGCGGCGGGCGGAACGGGCCCTGGAGACCAAGCTGACAAGTGCTCCGGCCTCGGCTCAGACCTGCTGCAGCCGGGGAGCCGAAAGCTTCGCGTCCAGCGAAGAGCCGCAGCTGCTGCAGCCAGCGCAGCTCACTGCGGATGTCGAAGCGTGCAGCTCACGCCCATCTCGGTCCGAGAGGCAGAGTGCCGACCGGCTGGATCGGTCTGACCGGTCTGAACCTATTGACCTGTCATGGGCTGCCTTGAATCACAACGTGGGAGTTCCGTTGAAATGTCCTGAGCCCAAAGTGCCAAAGACTCTCATCGTGGCTCCAAGCTCTCCGTCCCAGGCGGAATGGAAAAGACTTAAAGACAGCAAAACAACGAGGGTCGCCCCTGTGTGCTGCCTCAGGCAGAAAGGAACTCTGATCAAGTTGAGGAGTTTGAGGAGGTTCTGAACAGCTTTTCATGATGTTCCATGTTTTTTTTAAAGATTGCTTCCTACAGTCGATTGTTCGGACATGGCCAGGAGGGCTGGGTGCCTCCACCACGGCCTGCCATGCCAGAGATGCCAGGTGCGCTGAGAGTCCGCGAGTATGGGGAACAAGGTGGAAGATGGGATTCGACCATGATTGGATCAAGAATGAGGCCTCAAATGGTCAAGCTTGCGAAACAGGATTGCACATTGTGACAGACATTCTTTGGTCTTGTATGCGCATTGGTTGATTAATATATTAAGAATGCAGTTGCGCATGTGCTGCAAGATCAAGACCATTTCTTTCTTTGATATGCTGTTTTGCGTTTTCTTGCTCGCCTTTGCCCTGACTTTGTTTCGGGGACACTGTGCAGGCCCCCCCTGTCTGCAGAGGTCGGGTGCGCCGTTCGATGACCGTTCCAATAGCACATTCTCCATCCCACGGCTAAGTGAAGCCGCAAATCCGCCGAAGCTGTACTTGTACATCTTTGTACATGCTCCAAGAACTCCTTTTCTTCAAGAAGCTAGTAGTAACAGGTGCCTTACTAGTAGTAACAAGAAGCTAGTAGTAACAGGTGCCTTACTAGTAGTAACAAG